CCGACAGTGCCAGCACCTCGAGCACCAGTAGTACCTCCAGCACCTCCATTGCCTCCAGTTCCAGCTCCAGCGCCTCCAGCACCAGTAGTACCTCCAGTACCTCCTGTGCCAGCAGCTCGAGTAGCACCTCCTGCACCTCCAGCACCAGCAGTACCTCCAGCACCAGCAGTACCTCCAGTACCAGCAGCTTCCGCAGCTCCAGCACCAGTAGCACCAGCACCTTCAGTGCCACCAGCTCCAGTACCTCCAGCACCGGCAACAGCTCCAGTACCCCCAGCACCAGCAGCTCCAGTACCTCCTGCACCAGCAGCACCTCTAGTACCTCCAGTAGTACCTCCAGCACCTCCAGCACCAGCAGCACCTTTTGGACTAGTAGCTCCAGCACCAGCAGGACCGTACCCTCCACCACCAGGACTGCCTCGCAGAACGACCCACGCACGAATTGCCTGCGGCGAGAGCGTCTCAAGTAGAGCAAGCTGCGGTGGCTGTCCAGCTCCAGTATCTCCAGTAGTGGTAGCTCTAGCACCTCCAGCACCAGAAACACCTCTTGTACCTCCAGCTCCAGCACCTCCAGCATCAGCAGCAGCTCCAGTACCTCCAGCACCAGTAGTACCTCTAGTACCTCCAGTAGGACCTCCAGGCCTAGTAGCTCCAGTACCTCCAGCTCCAGGACCTCCAGAATGACTCGCAGCACCCCCAGAGTCAGCACCCGAAGTCTCAGCACCCCCAGAGTCAGCATCCAAAGTCTCAGTACCCTCAGTCCCAGCACCCTCAGGCTCAGCACCCTCAGTCCCAGCACCCCCAGTCCCAGCACCCTCAGTCTCAGTACCCTCAGTCCCAGCACCCTCAGTCCCTGCACCCTCAGTCTCTACTCCAGTGTCCACAGCAGTAGGCTGCAAAGGCGGCGAAGACGGTAGAGGTGGGAACCCGGGGGGGGTAGCCAGACGAGGAGAGCGGGCACCCCCAGACTCACCACCCCCAGCCCCAGCTCCAGTAGTCTCAGCTCCAGAGTCCACAGCAGCAGGCTGCGGAGGTGGCGAAGACTGCCGTGGCGGGAAACCCGGGGGGGTTGCCAAGCGAGGAGTGTGGCGAGTGGTCGCCGTGTCGTCGGCGACGGCGTCACCCCCCTCAGGTGAGTCAGAGGAGTCAAAAGAGATCTCAACTGGCTCATCCAAGGGGGGTGGGTCTACCTGGGACACACCTGAGGGAGCAGGACCCTGTGGGGGGAGGGGGTCTACTGGGGGGGGACTGGTACCAGGAAGAGGGGTGCAAGGGGGACCGGGTGGGACTCGTGCGGGTGAAGTCGGTAGTAACAGACCGACTCGTCGAAGGTGACGTCCTGAGAGGATAGAACACGACGCGAGGCAGGGTGGTAGAACTGCCAGGGCGGGGCGTCGGTGGGAAAGCCCAGGAAGACACAGCGGAGAGTGCGAGGAGAGAGCTTGCTCGCTTTGGTATCGCGAACAAGGGAGAGCGCGCCCCAGACCCGAAACGACGACGCATCACCGGGCTGTCCCGTCCAACGGAGTGTGGGCGAGGTCTCTGGAGCAGAGACACGGGGCCAGAGGTTGAGCTGATGCGCGGCGTATCGGACCGCAAACGGCCACAGGAAATGGGGAGCAGCCGCATGGATCATGGAGGTACGAGCAACCTCCATGATCAGGCAAATGCGACGCTCAGCGATCCCATTTTGCTGCGGAGAGGCCGGAAGCGTGAACGACTGGGCGATGCCCTCATCCTGGCAGAACGTCTCAAGGACGCCAGAAGAGAACTCACCACCCATGTCAGAGTGCAGACGCAGGACTGGGAAGTCCTGCTGAAAGCGCTCGTGTAGCTGGAGACGAGTAGCACGGATCCAGGGGATCAAAACACCGCTGACGTCCGCCTTGCGACGCAAGGGGAAGACTGTAGTGTAACGTGTGTAGTCGTCAACAACCAGCAGGAAGTAGCGCTCCTGGTCCGTCCCACCGACAGGGGCCGGGCCCCACACGTCCAGGTGGAGAGTCTGCAGAGGAGCAGTGGTCGAAGGAAACTCGGAGGAGTGAGGAGCGGCGCGCTGCCGCCCCTCGACGCAAGGAAGGCACGGCGGCGCAAGTGAGCGCGGGAGGGGGGGCAGGGTCTCAAGGAGGCCAGAGACCAGGAGCCGGGAGTGCATGACGCGCAGACGCTGCAGGGAGGGGTGACCAAGACGGTGGTGCCAGCGCTGAGTCTCGTGCGTGAGTACTCTGCATGAGCAAGACGCAGCTAACTGCCCTGACGCAGACGCTCGACTCGACGCAGCTACCTAACCTGACTCAGCCACCTGTGCAGACGCAGTGGTCAGTGTGTACAGACTAGACCCAGGCTGTCGAGTGAACGTAGCCAAATGACGGCCAGTCCGGGAGCACGTGCAGATCACCACACGCTGCCCTCCAGGAATAAAGGTATTAACCCAGACATCCTGAATGGCAGCGTTGCTCACCAAGTTCGTCGAGAACGTGGGGAGGTGGAGACCTGACAAAGAGCCGGAGGGGACAGCTGGACAAGGGAGGACCGTGGAGGCTCTCGCAACCACTGGGCCCCCAGAAGGATCAGCCAGTGAGACTGGGACAGGTGCTGTGAGTGGTGTGACTGTGGTGCAATCACGAAAGAAGCAACGTGACGCGCCTGAGTCAATCGTGAAAGTGTGCAAGACCTCATCTGAGGCAGGACCTGTGGTAGTAGACGCACTAGCACCTAGAGCGTCGGTAGACGCACGGGCACCTAGAGCTGCAGCAGACTCACTAGCGCCTGGAGCGGCAGCAGACTCACTAGCACCTAGAGCAGCAGTCCTAACAGAACGATAACCTCCACCACCAGGACGACCTCGCTGAATAACCCACTCACGAAGCTGCCGAGGGGTGGGGTCGTCCGGGAGAAGAAGTGCCCTCTGCTGTCCACCCCTGGCCGCAGCAACTGCCGCGGAAGTGGCCATGACAGACAGTGACGGTCAGGAGTAGGTCCAGCACCTCCAGCTCCTACAGCGCCAGCAGCACCTCCTGCACTTCCAGCAGCACCTCCACCACTCCCAGTAGCACGAGTAGCAGCAGCAGCAGTAGTAACAGCAGCAGGGCGGCGCGCGGCCAGAGCAGGGCATTAGTAGGCAGTAGCTTCTAGGGCAGAAGCACCTAGGGCCCTTTTTTTTTTTTTTTTACTAAACAATTTAATTATATTTAGGGTATAGCAGGGCGCTGGCGCAGGGCAGGGCGCCAGCGCGCGCAGGGCAGGGCGCTGGCGCAGGTTGCAGCAGTGCGTGACGCGAGGGGCAGCAGAGCGCGACGCGACGGGCTGCCTTAGGGCGCGACGCGCGGGCTGCAGCGGAGCGCGACGCTCGACTCGGCAGGTCCGCGCGCGAGCTGTAGGGGCGGCGCGAACGGGCCGCAGAGGCGGCGCGCGGGCTCCAGGGACGACGGGCGGGCTGCAGGGGCCGCGCGGACGGGCTGCAGAGGCGGCGCGCGGGCTCCAGGGGCGACGCGCGGGCTGCAGGGGCCGCGCGGACGGGCTGCAGAGGCGACGCGCGGCTGCAGGGGCAGCGTGAATGGGCTGCAGGGGCAGCGTGAACGGGCTGCAGGGGGGACATACGGGCTGCAGGAGCGACGTACGGGCTGCAGGAGCGACGTACGGGCTGCAGGAGCGACGTACGGGCTGCAGGGGCAGCGTGATCGGGCTGCAGGGGTGACGTACGGGCTGCAGGAGCGACGTACGGGCTGCAGGGGTAGCGTGAACGGGCTGCAGGGGCGACGTACGGGCTGCAGGAGCGACGTACGGGCTGCAGGGGCAGCGCGCGGGCCACAGGGGCAGGCGCGGCTGCAGGGGCAGCACGGTAGCAGGGGCGAGCACGGCTGCAGGGGCAGCACGGTCGTAGGGGCGAGCACGGCTGCAGGGGCAGCGCAGTCGCAGGGGCAGCGCACGGGCTGCAAGGGTCGCAACAGTGAGAGCAAGGGTCGCAACAGTGAGAGCTAGGGGCGCCAGCGCGCTAGCTACTGTGTAGGGCATGGCGCTACCACTAGGCGGAACGGTGGGCCCATGTAGGAACGGTTCCTACTCTGATAACATGTCAAGAATCGAACTAGGAGTGAATGATTGAACTAGGCAAGAGGTGAGTACAAGTAGGGGAAAGCTAACCCTAAAGTGTTGTACTCACTAAGGAGTGTCCCTACTGTAGCCTAGAGATACAATTGCAATTTGACACTCTGTTCCTGCCACTGGGCTTTGCTTTTGAACTGGTTCTGCGACTGCTTGTTGTGTTGGCTATCCCCCACTTCGCCTATGGGGGTGTGTCAAATTGTTATTTGCTCTGTAGGCTGTAGTGGGGTACTCAACAGAGAGTACAACCCTTTTAGGGTTCCTACATGTATCCCACGTGCCTGCTAGTGCAAACCCCTCTTCTACCATTCCTTCTTATCGCCTAGTTTTAACAGCCGGTTCCATCAAGATTATGTGCGGTGCGTGAATAAGGGCGTTCAATCCGCCCTCGTGTGTTGAAGTTCGCCGCGTGTTGTTCGCGACGTCACGCACGTGGTGCTCCAAGCGAGGGATTTCGACGAGAAAAATAAAAGCCATTAATGTTAACAGACAAATAGGTGTACCCCGGGTCTTATAGCCGGCACTATACGGTATGTACAAAAAGGCACACTACCATAGCCTCACCCATCCATTCCACCCACGGCATCTAGCGCGAATATGGAAGGGACATGGAGACACATTGCATACACATGCACCATTCATGCAGCAAAAACACAGCGAGCGAACTCAAAACTTCTATAAGAGTTGTAAGCACAGTTGTTTGTTAACACTTGTATTGCAAGTGCACGAGCTCCATATCTCCCACCCACAAGGCAACGGTACATTGCTTGCCTTGCCCACCACTCCATGATGCACAGTGCCATCGATGCGGCTACACACATGGCTATGCACGGGGCTATCTACTCACTATGGCCGTGAGAAGAACCCTCTGCAGCACCAACTCAGTGCGGTCAAGCTCAAGGAAGAGCAGCCGGGGCAGCATCAGATGGACGCTCCTCCTTGGCTTCACTGGCAGAATCACTGGCAGAGGGGTCACTAGGTGGATCCAAACCAGCTCCAGCAGCAGCAGCAGCAGAGGGGGGAGTGGTGGCAGCGGGAGGGGCGGCGCCGCGGGTGTGAGAGCGGCAGTCGTAGTCTAGAACCTCGTAATCCGTGACTGACCGGGAGTGCCGCACTATGGCCCGCCCCACTGAGTTTATCCAGTCCTCCTTCTCCTGCCGGCCCAGCCACACATGGGGGGGGGAGTGACGGACGGCACAGGGCGTGTGGTGGAAGGGGGGAGGGGGCAGAGCAGGAGGGGAGGAGGGGCAGTGGAGTGGAGAGGTGAGGGGGTTTGAGGAGTATCAGGACTTGACCCGCCCCACTGAGTTTATCCAGTCCTCCTACTCCTGCCAGCCAGACATGGAACGGGGCGTGGGCGGGAGGGTGGAGGGCGCAGGAGGGGAGGAGGGGCAGTGGAGAAGTGAGGGGGTTAGAGCCGTATCAGGACGTGGCTAAGAGAGAAGCAGGAAGGGAGTGAGAAGGTGAACTGGCCTACCATGCCACTGTGCAATCCTGCCTGCATGCCCTGACCTGTGCACGTGTCCAGCTCTCTGCACCTCTCTGCACCTCTCTCAACCCCTGCCTTGCAGAAATCAAGGTGTGTCACTGGAGTTGGAAAGCTAGAGGACGGCGTGGCCCATTTTTGGAGTTCCAGGAAGGGAGAAGAGCAGCAGGAAGGGTCCCTGACCTGACCTGACCTGGTCTGACCTGACCTGACCTGGTCTGACCTGACCTGACCTGACCTGACCTGGTCTGACCTGACCTGACCTGACCTGACCTGACCTGACCTGACCTGACCTGACCTGACCTGACCTGACCTGACCTGACCTGACCTGACCTGACCTGACCTGACCTGACCTGGCCTGACTGGGCAGCCCAACACTAGGTAGCCCATCAGTGGGCAGCTGGAGCGAATAGACGGAACGTGGAACGAAGACTTAACACGGAGAAGAGGTGTGCAGACCCTCCCCAAGTCAGGAAAAAACAGCGAGCGTGTAGTTGGAAGTGAAGAGGCGCAAGCTACGCAGAGCGGGGAGCAGAGCAGCAGAGCAGAGGAGCATCGGAGGAGGAGAGCAGCGGAAAGTGGCGCAGAGTAAAAGAGGAGACCTTGTGGGAGTCAGCAATGAAGAAGAGAGTGTCGTTGGAGGTGGAGAGGTGCTGTCACGTCCACGCGTGGTCTATGTGTGGCGCAAGCAGGGCGGGAGTGCAAGCAGGGTGGGCATGCGAGCACACATGGCGCAGAGCAGAGCAGAGCAGAGCAGAGCAGAGCAGAGCAGAAGAGCAGACCTTGTCGGAGTCGGCAATGAAGAAGAGCGTGTCGTTGGAGGTGGAGAGCTCAAAAGCGTGCGCGCGGTTGATCACGTCCTCTGCGCCCTTGATCGTCAGACACCGCCCCACGTTGATCACCCCGCGCGGCTGCGAGTCCTGCTTGCGAAGAGAGGGGGGGGGGAAAGAGAGGAGAGTAGTCGGTGAGTACGTGTGTGAGGGAGGGACGGCGTAAGTGGGTAGCAGCGGTTGATCACGTCCTCTGCGCCCTTGATCGTCAGACACCGCCCCACGTTGATCACCCCGCGCGGCTGTGAGTCCTGGAGGTGGGGAGAGAACGAGTGGGTGAGTTTGTGTGTGAGGGAGGGATGGATGGAGGGAAGGAGTGAGTGTGTGTGGGAGGGAGGGAGGTAGGGAGGGAGGGAGGGAGGGAGCGAGTGAGTGGGTAGCAGGGGGTTGATCACGTCCTCTGCACCCTTCATCGTCAGACACCCTCCACGTTGATCACCCCGTGCGGCAGCGGCTGCGAGTCCTGCTTGCGAAGGGGAGTGGGTGAGTGACTGGGCAAGTGAGTAGTGAGTGAGTGAGTGAGCGAGCGAGTGAGCAAGTGAGGGAGTGCGTGAATGAATGTGCGAACCCTTGCAGCCCCCCCCTTGCAGCCCCCCCACCATGCAGCCCCCGGCCACCTTGGAGACCTTGTCGTCCTTGAACCAGAACATGTGGCCCTCCTTCAGCACGAACCACCGCCGCCGCCATGTCTTTATGTACTCTCCTGCACGCGCGCGGGGGAAGCGAGGAGTGGGAGGGAAGAAACGCGTTGGGTGGAGGCAGGGGGAGGCATGTGGGAGGAAGGATGGGGGGAAGGTCGAGCAGACGGCTGGCGGGAGAGATGGGGGGAAGGATGGGGGGAGGGATGGGGGGAGGGATGGGGGGAGGGATGGGGGGAGGGATGGGGGGAGGGATGGGGGGAGGGATGGGGGGAGGGATGGGGGGAGGGATGGGGGGGAGGGATGAGGGGAGGGATGGGAGGGGATGGGGGGGAGGGATGAGAGGGGATGGGGGGGAGGGATGGGTGGGGATGGGGGGAGGGATGGGGGAAGGGATGGGTGGGGATGGGGGGAGGGATGAGGGGAGGGATGGGAGGAGGGATGGGGGGAGGGATGGGGGGAGGGATGGGGGGAGGGATGGGGGGAGGGATGGGGGGAGGGATGGGGGGAGGGATGGGGGGAGGGATGGGGGGAGGGATGGGGGGAGGGATGGGGGGAGGGATGGGGGGAGGGATGAGGGGAGGGATGGGAGGGGATGGGGGGGAGGGATGAGAGGGGATGGGGGGGAGGGATGGGTGGGGATGGGGGGAGGGATGGGGGAAGGGATGGGTGGGGATGGGGGGAGGGATGAGGGGAGGGATGGGAGGGGGTAGGGGGGAGGGATGGGTGGGGATGGGGGGAGGGATGGGGGGAGGGATGGGGGGAGGGATGGGAGGGGATGGGGGGGAGGGATGGGTGGGGATGGGGGGAGGGATGGGGGAAGGGATGGGTGGGGATGGGGGGAGGGATGAGGGGAGGGATGGGAGGGGGTAGGGGGGAGGGATGGGTGAGGATGGGGGGAGGGATGGGGGGAGGGATGGGAAGAGGGATGGGAGGGGATGGGGGGGAGGGATGGGTGGGGATGGGGGGAGGGATGGGTGGGGATGGGGGAGGGATGGGGGGAGGGATGGAGGGAGGGATGGGGGAGGGATGGGGGGGGGGATGGGTGGGGATGGGGGAGGGATGGGGGAGGGATTCGGGGACAGATGGGGGGAGGGGGGGGAGGGATGTGGGGAGGGATGGGGGGAGGGATGGGGGGAGGGATGGGGGGAGGGATGGGGGGAGGGAGTGGTGGTGCAAGAGGCTGTAACGAGCACAGTTGTTGGCACGGTAAGGAGGCACGGTGCGGAGGTTGCTAGGTGGTAGGCACTGTGCACGACAGGATAGGATGGCCTCGTGAGGGGCGCGGTGGGGATGCGAGGGGAGGGCGAAGTGAAAAAGGACAAGCGGACGAAAGGGGGGTAGTGGGCGAGGGAGGGATGAAAGGCATAGAGGGAGTGCGGTGTGAGGGGCGAACAGGGTGTGAGACGTGTGGAGGGACGGCAGGATGAGAAGGGGGGGAGGGTGGGTGGCAGAACGGCGGGAGACGGGAGGAGATGGGGGGGGGAATGAGGAGGGGATTGCAATGAGGGAAGCAGGAGTGGGTGGAGAGAAAGAAGTGGGGTCAATGGAAAGACGAGAAGAGAAAGAAACACACAACCACACGTGAGTAGCACACACAACACATCCACTGAACACTGCTCGCTCCTCCCCACCCTGCTCTCTCCCCACCCTGCTCTCTCCCCACCCTGCTCTCTCCCCACCCTGCTCTCTCCCCGCCCTGCCTTCGCCGTACCTTGCTTTGTGAGCCACCCGGAGCGTTCAGGATCCTTCCAGAACTCGATGCTCTGGGGCGACGGGGCGAGGCGAGGGGGTGAGGGGGGCGCGAGGGGGGGCGAGGGGGGGCGGCGGGGCGAGGGGGCGAACAGGGACGAGGCAAGTGGACACACGAGCAGCAGGGGAGAGACCAGTCCCAAGGGAGGGACAGGGGAGGGGGCAGGGTAGACGGTGAGTGGTATGGAGACGAAAGGAGGAAGAGGCATGGGCCTGGCGGTAAGAGGGATGGGAGCTGATGTGGCGAGGCATCAACGCGAACACATGGTTGCACGTGGCAGGGCACGTGTGTTCATGCACGTGGCAGGGCATGGACAGGGCATGGGTGGGGATGCATCGAACAGTAGCGGATCAAGACACCCCACACGGATTCGCAGCCACTTTCCCAGCCAAACGGCGCAGCAAGCGGCGCACCTTAGATTCCTCTGGAATGTTCGGAAAGCCGAAGAGCGACGCGAGGGCCATCGTTTCCCGTCAAAACGACTCTAACGACTCGTCGGTAAGCAATGGACTGTAATCAGTCAAACAACGGCCCGCGTCGACTGACGGCCGCCAGACGTGAATTTAGTACTCCTCGAAAACGGGAAAATCACGTGAGGATGAAAATCACGGCTCGCGAATCTCGAGGCGTTTCAATAGTGGCACGCTCGCGAATTTATCCGTCGGACGGACGCGCGACGAGCATGAAAGAATGAATCACGACGCCATTCTCCGTTGGCAACTATATCGAGTATTGAATATCGCGACGATGATCGTGGACGAACGAGAAGATTTTAGGCGCCTTAAAAGTACGAAGATGCTGAAAGGTCAGAGAAGAAAGACGACGAGGAGGAAAACGAAGCCAAACCGTCACTTCAAGGAAAGTACGTCCACGGTCTTCGTACAAGATAGGACTTCCTTGACTAACTATTTCCTAAGGTAAGGGCAGGAGTGGGGGATGCGGCGACGAAAGAAACTAGAAGCGGGAAATGCGGTGGCCAGAGGACAGGAAAGAAATGCAGCCAGGAGAAGCAAAATAGGGGGAGAAGCATACGGACGAGACAGACACGACTGTCGAGAAGTGTACTTGTGTTTCCACTTCTACTATCAGAGCTTTCTATAAATAGTATATATATATTAGTACACACGTTAGTCATTGAACTGTATTGCACAACCACGCCGTTCAGCCTGGCGAAAGCCCCCGTCCACCAATCATCCGTCGTGCGCGATTGCTCGTCTGGGGCAAACGAAAACAAATCCGTTGAGCACCCTGGAATGTGGTCGCGCGGGTGGGATCTGTCCCTGCGTGATCCCTCGATACTGTCACGCTCACGCAACACCCCTTCCCTCGCAACGTTCAAACCTCCATCCATCTCGCCTTCTCTGCTCCGCACCCAACCCACCCGCCATTTTCGCCAGCGGCATCGCAGAGCAAGGCACCCAGTCGCCAGGCCATGCTATTTGCTCTCACGCTCACGTAAAGGAGACTTGAGAATCAAGATACTAGTAGTTGCATGGGCAGCGTATCTCGAGCATCATCACGGCAGCACTTCGCCAATCGGACCAACATTCGCTCGGTAGCCAGATTTAGGCCAATCGCTGCTATAGATTTAGGCCAATTGGCTTATGCAAGTTGCCTGGAAATTGTGATCGCAGCCAATTCTGGTTGCTCCGACGGCTTTCGCGTGGAGTACTCCACTCGTACGATTTTTCAGGGTGTGCGACTCGGTAACGAGCTGTAGTTACTGTTGCGCCGCGGATTCGTCGAAACGAAGCGTTTCGCGAAGGCGTTAGCGAGGCGGCGGTGTCGTCGCACGTTGTCGTCACGTCGTCATGTGGTGGCCCAGTGACATCAAGGCGCCCGCCGCATCCAACGGCGCAGATCGCGTCGGAGGCAGCAGCGTGCGATCGCGGCCGTCGCGCGCGGCGCAGCATCCATGGGCCGAAGATCTCGTTTCGCGCGCCGACGACGACGCCGTGGCCGACGCTGCCGTTCGCGGATGGGCGTCGACGGCGGCCGATTGGGATCCGCGGAGCGGCGACGAGGGGCAGATTACGGGGAGAGGGGGAGCGTGGGTGGGGGGGCCGGAGCCCATTGCGCTCAGGTGGCCGCTAACGGGCAAAGGCGGAGACATTCAGGGGAAGGGGGGAAACGTGGGGAAACGGGGCGCTGGGGAATCGGGTCGGACCCGAGAGGAGGGGGAATTGGGGCGGTTAGTGAGAGCAGATAAAAGGGCTGGTGGGGAGAATGGCGGCGAGGGAGGAGGTGCGTCGCAACAAGGAGCGCGACGAGGGGGCGGCGCGGATCTCGAGGCGCGGATCAGACGCGCGTGCGAGTGGGTGGGGGTTCTTCCTGGCGGCGCGTCGCAGATTGATGAGCGAGCGGGCAGAGCGGCGGCAGTTGCGGGTGGTTCTGTTGGCTCGTCTGGCGTCACCGAGATTCTTGGGAGCAGTTTGCACGGCCAGGATTCGCCGTCGGCCAGATCGGATTCAGTCTGCGCGAGTTTTCAGCTGTCGGATGCGCAACGAGTGGGACGGCCAGTAGCCAACCACCTCCCCGCATCCAGCGCCGCATCTGGCGCCGCGCATCGCGCGTGGGAGGCGGGGTACGAGCTGGAGCTCCTGACGGCGGCGTGGGGGGAGCACCTCCCCGTGCTGCTGCTCGACGCCTCCCCGCCTTCCGCCTTCCCCGCGCGCCCCTGCGCGGACGACCTTCCGCCTCCCAGCGCCGGGCAGCACCGCTCATTGCGCCACGCGGCGGGAGAAGCGCGCGCAGGGCGCAGGGAGAAGATCGGCGCGGCGTCGGGCCGGTTGGCGGAGGAGGTGGGGGGCGATGCGTCGGAGGGCGGGCAGGAGCGCGGACGGGGCAAGCGCGCAGCCGGGTCGAGCGGTGCGGCGATCGGAGGCAGCACCGCAGGAGCCGGTGGGCGGTGCGGAAAAGGAGATGCGGGTTTAACAGCGACGACTAGAGGCGAGAACGGGAGGGACAGTACGGCCCAGCAGACAGTCATCGCTTTACGCTCTCGCCCCGCCATGCCAGACCGCCATGCCCTGTTAGGCTCGGAACCAGGCTCGGTGACAGGCTCGGAAAACCTTTTCTTGGTTGCAGGCGATGGTTCGTGCCGCGCCTCCTCCTGGCTCACCGCCGCCCCTCCCCCGCCGCCTCCGCTACTGGCGTCGATCTCCGCGTCCGCGCTCGCCGCCAAGGGCGCTGGGGAGGGCGCGGCGAAGCGGGCAGCGGAAGCGCTTGCGGGGAACGGCGCGCAGTGGCGGAGGCTGCTGCCGTGGGGCTGGCGGAAGGGGTCCGCGCAGGCGTGGGGTGAAGCACGCGGCGGGGTTCGGGGTTTAACAGCGGCGGGGGAGGCGCGGGGCGGAGATGCAAGCGCGGAGCGGGATGAGCGAGAGGGGCGAGAGGAGCGGGAGGAGGGGGAAGCAGGTGACGTGGGCAAGGCTTTGAAGCAGAAAGGGGGCGCCAATGCTGCCATTGCCACTTCTCCTGCTGCTGCCGCTGGTCCTCTTGCCTCTGCTACCGCTCTTTCTGCCGTCACAACCTCTGTCGCCGCCGCTGCAGCCGCTCCTTCCGCCAGAGCCGCGGGCGCGGCGGCGGCGGCGGTCGCGGGCGAGGCGCGGCGCACGAGCGCGTCGCGGAACGCGCTGGCGGGCGGGCTGGCGGGCGGCGTGGTGAGCGTGTGCATCCACCCCCTGGACACCGTCAAGACCGTGCTGCAGGCGCACCGCGGCTCCGGCGCGCCCTCCGGCGTGCTCGCCACCGTGGGACGCGTCGTGGCGGAGAAAGGTGCGCGGAGAGTGGGGGGGGGGGGATGCGGGGGAGGAAAGGGGGGAGGGGAGGAGGAGGGCGAGGGGGAGGGGGAGGTAGGCGGGAGCTGGAGGGAGGGAGGGGGGTGTGAGAATGGCAGGGATGGGGGGAGGGTGTGGAATGAATGGAATGAGGGGAAGTTTCAAGGGGCCGCAAGGGCATGTTAGTCACGGGGTGGTGTTGTGGCTTGCTGTTGCTCGCATGCCTCTGTTCGTCTCCCCTCCCCTTCTCACCACCTCTCCTCCCACTGCTTTTCTCACTCCCCCCACTCCCCACTCCCGTCCATTATCTGTGCATCCCTCCTTTCAAACCCGCTCTTGACGCCCTAGACCGCCCAATCCCCCCCCCCCCCTCCTCTCTCCCTCGTCCTCGTCCTGACTCTCTCCCTCCACCCCAATCACCCATCCTCATTCCTCACTCGCAAATCCCCCATGCCCAATCCCTATCCCCCATCCCCCATCCCCCTCCCGCCTTCCCCCCCCATCCGCCGTCCGCCATCCTCTACCCTTCTCTCCGCAGGCCCGTTGGGGCTGTACAGTGGAGTGGCGGCGAGTCTAGCAACAGCGGCGCCCATCAGCGCCATCTACGCGTGCACGTACGAGGCTGTTAAGGAGGCTCTGCTGCCGCTCGTGCCGCAGGTGGGGAGGGGAGAGGGGTGTTGAGGGTGCGGGGGAGAAAGGGGGAGAGTGGGGGGGAGAGTGGGGGAGAGGGGGGAGGGCGCCCATCAGCGCCATCTATGCATGCACGTACGAGGCTGTTAAGGAGGCGCTGCTGACGCTCGTGCCGCAGGTGCGATGGGTGGGGGAGGGGGTGAGGGTGGGGGGGAAGGGGAGAGAACGGGGGAGAGTGGTGGGGGGGGAGAACGGGGAAGAGAAGAGGGGGACGGGCGCGAAACGGGGGAAGATCGGGGGAGTACTTAGTACAATTCGGCGCCGCAGGTGGGGGGGGAGAGAGGTGGAGATGGGAGTCAGAGAGGAGAAGGAGGGGGAGAACGGGGGAGGAGGGTGGGTAAGCAGGTGGGGGAGTGGTAGGGGATTGGGTGGAGAGTGGGTGGAGAGTGGGTAGAGAGTGGCATCAGGGTGAGGGTCGATGTTGTGATTTTCCCTTCTCAGAAGTGACTCAGAAGGTGGCGTTTTCATGCACACTGCACATTGCAGTGTTCCTGCCTTTTCCAACGTTTGCACTCCAGGAAGCTCTCATGCACACTGCATCACCTTTCCCTCTTCCCTTGCTCCCTTCCTTCTCCCCGTCTCCCCTTCTCTCTCCTTCTCCCCCTCTTTCCCCTCCTCCTCCTCCTCCTGTCTCCCATCTCGCACCTGTCCCCTCCCCCCTTTCAGCGGCTAGCGCCAGTGGCGCATTGTGTGGCGGGGGCGGCGGCGAGTGTGGCGACATCAGCGGTGTTCACACCCAGCGAGGCCGTCAAGCAGCGCATGCAGACCACCACGCACTTCCGCTCCTCCCTGTCAGTGCAAAGGGCCCGCGTTAGGTGACAGCAAGTGCTGTGTAGAGTGCAACGGTTGTTGTGAGCAGTTGTGAGCAGCGCATGCAGACCACCACACACTTCCGCTCCTCCCTGTCAGTGCCTGCCCGCCCGCCCTGCCAGCCAAATCAGAGCTGCTTTTGACGCCTCTCATAGCACTGCCACTTTACTGTTCCGTGTCACTGCCACTCCTACGCGCCGCTGCTGCCCCTACGTTCCTCCCACCTCCATACCTCCCACTTTGTGTATGGCGCATGGAGTCCTTTGGAACGAGTCCGACCCCCATACCTGGTGAATGCTTGGAGCACCGACTCTCGTCATACCTGAATGCTGCCCTCTCTCCCTGCCTATTCTTCCCAGTCCGCACGGTTCAACGTGCACCACTGCTCTGTCTTCCTCTCAAGCCCGTGCTGCCCCGTGCTGCCTGTGCTTTCCCCCTCTCCCCCCTCCGCTCTCCCCCTCCTTTGCCTCTCCACCTCCTCCGCACTACTCGCTTCCCTCTCCCTGCATCTCGTGTGGTCTCTCTGCCTCATGTGTTCTCTGCACCACCACCACCACCACCACCACCACCACCACCCACCACCCACCATCACCAATCCCCGCCTTCGTCATCCAACCCCCATGTGTGGTGCATGCGAGCAGGCATGCGCTGGCGGCTTTTGAGTCGACTCTAAGCCACCACCACCATGCACCAACAGTCCCAGTTTCCCTTTCCCTCCCCCTCGCATGGGCTGTACGGGAGCAGGCATGCGCTGGTGGGCATGGCGCGCACAGAGGGCGTGGCGTCGCTGTATGGTGGGCTGGGGGCTGTGCTGGCTCGCAACATCCCCAACTCCGTCATCAAGGTGTGCTGCCGCTGCTGCTGCCGCTGCCGCTGCTGCCGCCGCCGCCGCCGCCGCCGCCGCCTCCGGTGCTGGGTGTTGGGGAAGGAGGGGTTGAAATGGGGATAGAGGGTGGAAGCGGAGAGGGAGGATGGAGAAATGAAAAAGGCGGGGGGAGGGGAAGAGGAATAGGAGAGAGGGAAGATGTCGCAGGGAATAGCTGATTGGTTCTTGAATGGGTGGTAGCCACAACCAAGCGCGTATATTTGAGTCGACTGAAAGAACGGGTGGTAGCCACAACAAGAGCGATAGATTCTCTCCTCCACTCCACGTTACTTTTCCTCCCAATCCCTTTTCGTTTCCACCTCTGTTCACCCCCCTTCTCTGCACCCACTCTCCGACCACCCCCCGTTTCTGTACCCCCCCGCCCTCCCTCCCACCCGCGCCCTCCCTCCCTCCCGCACCATGTCTGCCTTGTGCGCCCCACCAGTTCCTGACGTACGAGGCGCTGAAGAAGCGAGCACTGGAGGCGCAGGTCAAGGCAGCTGGGGGGGCGGACGGGGCGCATGCCACCCTGCTCTCCCCCGCCAACCAGGTGCGCTGTTCCCTCCCGTGAGATTAGACGATTTTTGAGCCGACCCAAAAATCGTCTCTCCCCGGTTTACCAGGTGCGGACTTCCCTCCCCCCGGCCTCCCTAGGCGGGGTATCCCCCGCCACTTCCCCTCTGTGCTTGGGGTTTGGATGGAGGGAGGAAGAGGAGGGTGAAAGGGAAAGGGGGGTGGGGAAAGGGAGGGGGGCTGGTTGGTTTTCTGCGGGCCTGGGCATGTGTGCTGTATGGTCTTGTTGTCTCTCACACCCACCCACCCCCACCCCCTTCCCTCCTACTGAGATGCTCTTCTTTCTAAGCTGTTCAATCCACTCCCACTGCCCTTGCCCTTCTGCCTCCACCCTCATGTAAACTGCTGCTTGCTGGAATGTCTAACAAACTTCCCTTCCTCCTCCTCTACCATCATCCTCACCATCCCCCCCTCCTTCTACCCCCCTTCCCTCCTGCTTCTCCCATCCCTCCCCGATCCCTCCCTCCTCCCTCCCCCTCCCCGTCCCTGGTCTCTGCCCGCCCCTCTCCACTGTGCTCCTCGTCCCATCAGCTGCTGGTGGGGGGAGCAGCGGGGTCCACAGCAGCGTTCTGCACCACGCCCTTTGATGTTGTCAAGACGCGCCTGCAGACGCATGTGAGCGGGCGGGATGGTGAGCGGGGAGGGGGGGGGTGGTCTCCTAGGCTAGACCTGCAGACGCATGTGAGCGGGTGGGGTGGTGAGCGGGGGGGGGAGAGGGGGGGAATGGTTCTCCTAGGGTGCCTGCCTCAAAATGGCCTGCAGGGGAGGAGAGGGAGGAGGGGGGGGGAAGGGGGGTTGGGGAAGAGGGGGGTTGGATGGTGGGGTGTGTGCATGGCTCCGGGTGGTGGGATGTCATGTCAGTGCTGCTCTTGCATGGCTGTGTGACTGGACTGGACTGGACTGGAAGTCAGCGTGCACTGACTGACATGCTCACAGATGTGGCTGGACTCCACATGTCAGATGTTAAGTCTTGAAATAACTGACGATGGTGAGCGTGCAAGGCTGTGGTGCTGTGTGCCCAGCAGTGATCTCCATGGGGGAATGGGGGGTTGATCTCCATGGGGGAATGGGGGGTTGATCTCCATGGGGGAATGGGGGGTGAGGTTGGAGGAGGGGATAGGAGAGGAAGGGGGAGGGCATTAACGGAGCTTTTCCTACTTGTGATCTGACGTGATATGTATGCGTGTGAATGACCGCACCGCATGGTGCATGCATGCATGTGTGGCTGTGTGCTTGTGCATGTCTGCCCCGCACCAGCTACCAGGGGCGCCCAAGTACAAGGGAGTGGTCGATGCATTCTCCCGCATCGTCAGGGAGGAAGGCATTGGGGCGCTGTACCGGTGAGGCAGGCAGGGGTGGGGTGGGGTGCTGTGCTGTGCTGTGCTGTGCTGTGCTGTGCTGTGCTGTGCTGTGCTGTGCTGTGCTGCGCTGCGCTGCGCTGCGCTGCGCTGCGCTGCGCTGCGCTGCGCTGCGCTGTGCTGTGCTGTGCTGTGCTGTGCTGTGCTGTGCTGTGCTGTGCTGTGCTGGATGAGTTGTGTTGTGCAGTGGGCGCAGACAGTGCCCGCTGCACATACCTGCTGCTGCAACGCAAGAATCACCAACCTCTTCTTTTCATCGCTCCTTTTCTTCCCACGCCCTCTCCATGCACTGCACGCACCCTCCCTCCCTCCCTCCCTCCCTCCCTCCCTCCCTCCCTCCCTCCCTCCCTCCCTCCCTCCCTCCCTCCCTCCCTCCCTCCCTCCCTCCCTCCCTCCCTCCCTCCCTCCCTCCCTCCCTCCCTTCCCTTCGTCCCCCCCCACCCTCCCTCCCTCCCTCTTCCCCCTTCCTCCTCCCCCCACTCCCTTGTCCCTCTGCTCCACGAACCTCTTTCCATTTTCCCTAACCCCCTTCCGTCTCCCACTCCCCCCCCACATCCTCCTTCGTCTTATACCACCACACTGAACCCACCACCCTGAACCATCGTGTGAACCCCATCTCCCCATGTGTTGTACCACCAGAGGAGTGGCGCCTCGGCTGCTGATCTACATCTCCCAGGGCGCCATCTTCTTTGCCTCGTACGAGCTGCTGCGCCGCCTGCTGCTGCCCCCCCACTCCCTGCCCCTGCACGCACCGCGCTCACATGCACAGGCGCAGGCAACTCCGCAGGCACACATGCAGCTAAGAGAGAGGAATCAGCGGCAGCAGGCGGAGGAGGAGGATTAGGAGCAGCAGCAAAGGCAGCAGTGGGTTTAAGGGATAAGTGGCTTTGGTACAGAGAATAAGTCAACAGTACGCAGCAGCTGCTGCAGGAGCATCAACTTAATGGGAGAGCTTGGGGGTGCAGCGACAGTAATAATGTAGTTGGGAGGAATTGTTGATAGCTCATTGCGCCTGATTGATGTGTCGTAGTATTCTTGTCATAAATGTTCATTCCATTTGTTTCCATTTTGCGTCTGATAGTTTTTCCATGAGATTCCGGGGATAAGGATTGTGCCTGCTGTACGTGTTCCAAACTCCCACCACCCGCCCAGCTGTAGATTGCACTTGTAACAGTGCTGGGGTAATCCTTTCGTCAACATGTCGTTTCGGTTCGTCAAAACCATTTCGGTTCCCTCCCTTCTTGGAGATACCCCAGCTTCGTGGCTGCTACTGAACACGCTGACGTCACAAGCCAATGGCAAGGCGCCCCTCCCCTCCCCTCCCGTGTACCTCCCCTCTTTATCGATTCTGTTCCTCGAACCCCATAAGCTGCTTGTGCAGTGCGATGGGGCTGTTCGCCAGCACCTGTGAAGCCAAAAACCACGGGATAAGGACGGCTCAGGAAGGTGGGTCTCGTCTACCTGATCCCGTGAGTTAGGGTTCGTTTACTTCCGTCAGCCTGGTCAGCCCGTAAAAAAGATGCCGAGCCTCCTCTATCGTCCAAACCAACAACCATAGTGGGCGTCTGGCGAACGCCCCCCATTTGTCCACCAACTTGAGCTGCTCGACGGCAAATGGAAGCGGGGACGCAACTTCGTCACCAGGCAAAATTCCATCCCCAAGCCATGCCATCGCCATGCCCCATTTTTCAGAGGACAGCGATGGCACAGCCGTTGCATTGCCGTCCAAAGCCCTTGGGGGGAAGGTGGGGATGGAGGTTCCCGAAGCGGTTGCGTAATTTCGCTTTCCGGGCGCAGAAGTTTCTCGAGTGGCATTACGCCCAAACCTAGGAGGTGGGTTCCGCCTCCGTTTCCGGATGCGGTCGCGATGCCGATGCCATCTTTTTCATTCAAATGTTCGATTTGCTGGCGAACAGCACCAATGTGAATGCAGCCAATTGCGTAAAACCCAGTGCGCCACGCACCCTTTGAATTCGCACACATCCCCCCGGTTCGTCGCACCGTTGCAGTGGTACAACGCGCGCGCACCGTAATCGGGGCTCTCCAGCGGCGGGCCTGCTGCACTCGCGTGTATCTTAACCCGATCCGAACAGCACGACATTCTCAATTTAGCAGCACGTTCCGTGGTCTTAGTTTACGCGCGCTGATCTGAATCCGACTCGTCTGCACGTCCTTCCGAGGGATTCGACGAGACATACGCGCGCCTTTTCCGCGAGTTTTGAGGTGTCTCAAAACTCGCCTTTCCCGCGACTCTTGGAGTTCAAGGTCCACTTGCCGGCACACACAGGCGTCATCAAACCGCGACTCGAAACGGCGCCTGCTCTAAGCGGAGCCGTGAGTTTCATACCCGTGGAAGCCGCGCCTCCCGCTCACTCCGTGCCGGACAACCCCCCCGCCGCGTCCCCCACGCGCGCGCCGCTGCGCCGGGGACCGCCATGCCGCCGTTGAACCCGGACCTGTTTTCCCGGCAGGCCGCGGAGTACGCGCGGCACCGCCCGCGGTACCCCCCTGCGCTGTTCGCGTTCCTGGCGGAGCTGTGCCCCGCGCGCGAGCTGGCGTGGGACGTGGGCACGGGCAACGGGCAGTGCGCCGCCGAGGCAAAGGGCTTTCCGAAATGCATGGGGCGGGGGGAGCGTCTCCGTCTGATCATTCCTGTGTTTCGTCTTCCCCGCTCCCCTTTTCCCCCTTCCCATCTTCCTCCGTTTTCCCCCCCTCCCTTCCCCCCGTCTCCTCTCCCCACCCCTCTTTTCGCCGTTCTGCGCAGCTGGCGGGTGTGTTCGCGCGCGTGGTGGCGACGGACATCAGCGCGGCGCAGCTTAGCCACGCGCCCGCGCTGCCCAACGTGCGGTACGCCGCCACGCCGCCCGCCATGGGAGACGCGCACGTGCGCGACATCGTCGGGCCGCCCGGTGAGTCGCGTCGCGGCTACTGCGGCTGAGCGCCCCGCTCGCTTCCTCTCAGGAGCTGCGAGCACGCCTTAGCATTGCTGCCAGGGGGGGCGAGCGTGGAGGGGAGGAGTGGGGGGAGAATGGGGGACTAGAGGGGAGAGGATTGCTGTCTCATCTGCTCTGCTTTCCTGGCCCTGCCCGTGTCATGCCCTCACTCCATCTTTTCCGTTTCCAGTTTGACCCTTCACTCCTCTCCCCTCCACTCCCCCCACCTCCCATTTCCCTCCCCTCCCCTCCCCTCCCGTCCCGTCCCGTCCCCTCCCCTCCCCTCCGCTCCCCTCCCCTCCGCTCCCCTCTCCTCCCCTCCCCTCTCTCCGGCAGCGAGTGTGGATCTGGTGACGGCAGCGCAGGCCATGCACTGGTTCCACTTTGACCGCTTTGCTGCCAATGTGCGCGCCGTGCTCAAGCCACGCACGGGGGTCGTTGCTGCCTGGTGCTACACCCTCCCTCGGTATGCACTGCCTCGCTCCTCTGTGTTATGTTTCCTACTCTTTTATTTCTTAGTTAGCTGCTCCGTACGTAGCTGAATCGCTGTCACTGCATGCCGCCCCACACCTGAATTTTCTCCTTGTCCCTCCCCATCTTGCTTCCCTGCCTCACATTTCTCAAATTCATACCTTGTTCCCTCCATTGTCCCTGAAGTCAATCAACATAAGGCCCACTCATCTCGTCTTTGTTTCCCTGTTCCTCCCTGTTCCTCTTTCCCGTTTCCCCATCACCCGTCCGCACCACCACCCCGTGCGTCCCCTCTGTCAGCGTGAATCCACGGGTCGACAGTGCGTTGGACCGCTTCTATGCGCGCTCAGACCCCTTCTGGGAGCCGCAGAGGCGCTACATTGACAGCTGCTACCGAGACATCCCCTTCCGTTTCCAACCCTTGCCCCGTACGTGTATCCCCTGTGACTCTTGTGCCCTGCTATGATCTCTCCCAAGGCCTGTTTTCTTTCTTCACAGTTTCAGGTGGTGTGACGGCTGTGTTTTCTCGATGCATGTGCTGGAACTGATGGGCCAGCGCTCATCACTCATGGTTTCCCTCTACCTCTCTGGCGTGGTCACTCACTCCTGAGTCCCATGTGCTTCCTGCTCTCTGACTCTGTGTGACAGAGCTCCAGGAGCAAGGCACAGGTCCCTTGAGATTTGAGTCCATTGTGGAGTGGAGTTTCGAAGATGTCGTTGGTTTTCTTTCCTCCTGGTCAGCTGTTGCTACTGCCAAGGCGAAAGGGGTAGACCTGTTGGCACCGGAGGCGTGTGCTGAGTTGGAGGAGGCGTGGTTGGATGAGGAGAATGGTGGTGGGGAGGGAAGCAAGGAGAGGAGCTCCAGTGAGGTGCACAGGAGAGTTTGCTTCCCCATCTTCATGCGTGTAGGGACCGTTGATCCGTAAATGGGTGTGAGTTAAGTTTCGTAGGCTATGAAAGTTCTGGTGAAATCTCAGGGACTACTGAATTTTCCCAAGCATGCCCACGAACAGCAATGCAGTGAATTAAGATCAAGCTTGTTCTGCTCTTCCGTAAGTGGTACCCGTACATATGTACAAGATTCAAGCTCCATGACACTACTGACAGCCTTCTGGTGGTGATGGCTACCTTAGAGCCTTTTCAAGGGTAAATGAGTCCACGACATTTTGCACCTCGAGTATATTTTTTCGCGCGTCTTCTCCAGACTTAGGAAGAGACTCTCAGCATCCGGAACATCCTGTGGTTGTTGCAAACCGCAAGCTAATAGTAGAGCGAACTCCTTGCATTCCTGAAATTAAAGGGAAATGCCCATTAGTTGGCACGATTGGCTTAAAATGAAGCATTGAGTAAGAATTTTGGTTTTACCGCAGCAATATCTTTGATGTAATCCTGCTGGCGTTGCTGGCTATCAAGTTGCGACGAGGAGACAATACCCTCTACTCTGACGGTGATTGTTTCTTCAACCTGAAAGACAAAGCCACTAGAAAAAGATTAGAAAATGAAGACAAGTACGTAGCAGAAATTTGGGTTGACAATTTTGTTCATAATACCTTGTCAAGTTCGTAAAGAAGGCCAAGAGGTGCAAGCCGGCGAGCACATCTGAGCCTACTCTCTTTGTCAGCGACCTGGTTTCCAGACGAAGCAACGGGAGATGGTTCAATGTGAAGAACCGTCGCTGGGGAAGTCATCCACGGTAGTTGTTGACAAGAAGAGCTCTCGACATCATTTTGAGCATCGTCTTGAAAACTCAAATCGCCAATGCGACCTCTCGGAGAAGAACAGTCAGACTCTCTGTCGACATAAACGGCAGCACTTCTCCGCTCGCGAAGACCAGATGATGAAAGAACTTGGGAATGGATGGAAGGTCGAGAAATAGCTTGATGTGTTGCTAACGGGTCGATCACGTCAGACTCTCTGTCGACATAGATGGCAGCACTCCGACGCTGGCGAAGACCACACGAAGAATCCATAAATGGTTGATAACAAGACTTGGAGTCTGCTATTGTTAAAAAAAGAGACTGATAAGTATGAAATGACTTGGCAGACGAGTGAGATCGAGAACGAACAATCAAGCTTTTATGCTGATCAGGCTGAACTGAACTGAGAGCGCTCTGTCAGTGTCGCATGTCGAAAACATCGGAATTCCTTCCACTCCACCCCTTCACATTGGCCTGCTGTGCCGATATGATAGCCCGCGTTTGCGCAGCCACGCCAACCAAACCAAACCTTGGCGAAGCCTGGCCTGCGGAAGTGCTGAGTGGCATTCCCGTACCTCAGCTGCGCTGGGCCTACGCCATCCAAACTCAGCGCAAACCCGATTTTCGGGCTCGCATTACAAGCGCGAATCTTTCGCGACACTAGTGTACACTAGAATAGTAAAACAGAGAAATCATCTTTACAAGCTACAAGTATATGCAAGGATTTATTTGCAAATTCCTCACTGCGTACCAGCATAATGCGTACAACACTCGACCATACTTTGCCCGTTAATCATTAACGTCGTTCGCCATTAATCAAATATATCATTACGTGCACTGTTGCACTAGCCCGAACCTAACTTCCAGCATTGCATTAGATAGCTCGCAAGTCCGTTTTACCGTTTGCATGCTTCTCACAAGTGCATTGCTAGCTAGCTAAAAATGATGCATTGCAATTTTCATTATACACAGGAGAAAGAATATTCATGGCATCGTCAATTGAGCATTCAAGAAACTTGACCATAAAATTTGTCAATATGTTTTGGTTATCTATGTGAGAAGCACCTACGGCCGTGGCCAGCAATACAACGTTCAATGCAAACCTAAAAATGCTCACCCTTGTTTTCCATTTCTTTTATGTTTTGTATTTGGCTCTACACCTAGCCTTGGCTAGTATTTTTTAGACATTATCTCATATCGAGAGCACCTTGTCTCGCGCTGCGAGAGGTAATCGGAACCGTAAAGATCAGCATCTGGAATGGTCGCTGACCTGGATTCGCCACTTGGCTGCTCCTTGGACTCTATTCGTTGTGGCGCTGCGGCCTCATCCATTTCCTCACTTCCCGCAGAGGCGTTTGGCGCAGCGCAACCGTCCGCAGGGACGTGGCTGCATTTTTGCAGCGCACGGGATGCCTTTTGCGCACTTCCAAGCCGACCCAGGTTTGGGGCGGGGGCTGTGGTGCAGGCGCTCCTCCTGACCGCGCGCTGACCAGTGAACAGCGGCGCGAGACCCAAGCTGCAAGGAGTTTTTGATTCCAATCGTGGGGACGATTATTGGGCATGACAGCATCGGACGGCTGGATGTCCTTCTCCTTTCATGGCCAACGGCAACACTTGACAGCGCACGCAGATGCCGCAGATCGCTCTTCCAATAGCCGCCAAGCCACAACGTGCCCTGCCAGGCCTTCCGTGGTCGATCTTGAAGAAATCGCCGTGCTCGACAGTACACGCGGCGGCGTAACAGGTGGAGTGTAGAACTCAACTTTCCATGTTGAGCAGGGTCGACGGGCAGGCAACAAGAAACTGCCGCGTGAAAGATACAAGCTGTCAGCAAGCTGAACTCGACATTTACGCCTTGCTGTTTGTGCGCTGCAAACTCAAGTGCTTCCCGAGCAGTCCCATCAAAACCGTCTCTGTTCAAGCCAACAAGTTCAACCCTACGCACTATCGCTGGTTTCAACTTTGAAATCTTTGTTTGTGGTCAACTTTCCCCTCCTGTTTGGAGAAGCTTCAGACTCACCATGTGGGCCACCAGGGCTCGCTGGTTTCGACCCAGTGCGCACAGCGGCACGCCGGATGTGCAGCCGAGAAAGAGCCGCGAGCGCGAGCCCGCGAGACCGGCGAGTGAAAGCGTCGTGCGCGGCCGTCGCGGGGAGCGCGAGGAGGCCTGCAGCGGAGGGCCAGTTGCGCGGGGCCAGCAGGACCATCGCCCGAGAGTCCATCCCAATCCCAGCAGTTTCGATCGCTCCAAGCCCGCCAGGCCCGCTGGTGAGCTTGCAACCGGCGAGCGCGATGCGCCCCACGCGTCAGGCCCCGCCGGGGCTGCCGCGTCGTTTCTGGAAACTTCGGCGGTGCGCGGGAAAGAAAGAGACGCTGTTGCGAAAGGCGCAAGCAAGCGCGCAAGCGCGAGGGGCGCTTCCGCCAGCGGGGCGTGTCTAGGTGGACTGGTAGACCTGCGCACCCTGGGGTCCGCGCGCGGGGGGTCGCAAAACGCATCGGGGGAACGCAAGGCGCTGGCGTCGTTCCGGCGGCAGCACATGATGCGATTCTTGGGCGACGCTAATCTGGTCGTGCTGCAGCTGCACGGGCAGGCGCTCTGCTGCGGGCGACCGCAGGCAGGGCTGGTCGACGAAGGCGACGACGAGGAGGGGGAGGAGGGGGAAGAGGAAGAAAGGGGAGAGGAGCGAGGTGAGGATGAGGGGGAGGGTTCTGGGCTTGACGAGGCTGTTTCCTCGCTGGGTGACATGGGGGAGGAAGACGAGAGGAAGGAAAAAGCAGACGTGGATATTTCTGGGACGATGGACGCGAGAGGAGGGTTAACTGGAGAGTCCCAGGGTTGCACCCTGGTAACTAAGGAGAGCGGCAAGTCGAGGGATGTCGCCCTTTTGGCGAAAACGAAAGTTCGCGAAGTCGCAGCGTCGCCGCCGCGTGCGACACCTTTTGCGACGCCTGCGACGACGTCAGCGCGATTGCGTTCGTCGCGGTCGCGGTTTGAACAGGTGCTGAGCGACTGGGCGGCAAGCGCGCGAATGGCGGCGGATGAAGTCGCACAGGGACTCGATGCGTGCGACGGATCGCGAAACGAGGGACCCGAGCTGGAGTTGAGAAGCGCAGGCTCGTCAGGAAAGCGTAGCAGCAGCCTTGCGAAGGGAGAGGAGGTGCGAAGGCTAGATGCGATTTGCGGCGCCATGAGTGGCGAAGAGGTATCGCAGCTGACGGGGACCGTATCGGGCACTGATGTTGACCAGAGGGCGGCGACGGCTCCAGTCGTGGGAGATGGCCCGCAGGTTGCTCCGGCGGGATCCAGTGATGGTCGCACAGGTCGCGATGATGGTCGCACAGGTCGCGGTGATGGTCGCACAGGTCGCAGTGATGGCAACGATCGTCGCACTGGCGACGACCCTGCGCATGCGTCATCGCGTAGCGATGCGTATGCGTCTGTGATGCCGCAGCAGTCGGTTCAGGCCGAGACGAAGGGCGAGGGGGGTGGCATGTTGGCGGGTGTCGAAACAGGCGCCGGGCCGACTTGCGTGGGCGGCGAAACGTGCGCTGAACACTCGAAGGCAGTGGTTGCGCGGGAAAACCGAGGATGCGGTGATGAACGATTGACAGATGCTTGTGCTGATGGGGTGCGTGACTGCAGTGGCGGTAACAGTGGGAGTGGTGTGGATGTGATTGCCATAAGTGAGTGCAAGGATGCGCCGCTGAAGTTAGAGGTGGGAAAGGAAGGGGGGCTATCAGTATCTGGCGAGCGAACACACGAGGGGGGACATGGAGATAGCAAGGAGGGCCTTAATGGCGTTATGCTGAGCGAGCAAGGAGGGGGAGGATCAGCAAGGGTAAATCGCAGAACTCAGGCGGAAAGGGAGAGTGGTAAGACACGGCATGGACAGAGGCAAGGGAAGGTTCGGTTTTCCTGGCTCAAAGTACGGTGGCCTGTGTGGGGTTGAGAGGGTGAGGTGTGGAATGTCTGAAGGGTGTGGGTAAGGTGTGACTCCAGAGCTGCTGTCTGGAAATCTTGTACAGAGATGTGGTTAGTGTCTAATATGAATGGGTTCATTAAAGTAAGAAACCACATGGTTATAATTACTGGAGCCTCATTTCACCCTGTAAGGGTTATAACCATATAACAACTCATAATTCACCCCTTGGGGAGCTTATGCAAGAGTGTGTAGCTTTGAAATACTCTTATCGCTGTAAGAAACGCTATAACAGAATCATAACAAAGTGATTTTGAAATGTGACTGCACCAGTTATCACAACCGCTCCGACACTTTGAACATCGAGTCTTGTTGGATAAGTTATCACAGGCCGTCCCAGGCCAAACCGTCCACCCACACCACACTCAGGCCTTTCACTTGCATTGCTGATGCCTACGAGCCTGCTGCTATCCACGCGCACCTTGTAGTGCAATGCGACTTCGCTCGGCCACAGCAGATCGTCGTCTCATCTGGCTGTACTATATGGAAGCAGCAGAACCAGGTGCCAGTACCGTGGGGCCGTTTGGATATTTGGGATGCGTCCCAAGAATAAGTTGAAAATCCCTACCTCCAAGTTAGGGCATGGATTCCTGGAAGTTAGATAATGGAATCATGGAGGTTAGGGAATGGGTTTTTTCCAGCGGACGAGTCAATTGAACTGCTGCACTGTTATCCACATATCTATAGTAATGTCTAGCAGGCAGCACAGCAAGCTACTTCGCATAGGATAGTTTTTCCCCATCCATGCAGTACGCGCCGCGCCGGGGGCCACTCCGAGTCGATCATCGGTGAGCAAGTCTTATCTGCGCTACTACTACTCTTTAACGGTGAATAAAAATACGTTCTTGGCCGCTGTAAGGTACGCGCCGCGCAGGAACGAAGTTGAGACGGGTATTGGATTAGGAACGCGTGTACTAGCTCCGAAGATATATATACACGCATGAGGTTCTATAGAACCTGGCGGGGGACGCATGAGCGCGCTCGTGAAGCTCCTTCCCCCTTCCTCCCAATGCCCCGTAATAGGGCAGTAATGCCGCGCCGCGGCGCGCCGGCGCGACCACCAGTGCTTCCCATCGTCCCGGAGCCCTGCTGAGTTGGCGGTGGGTGCGCGTCAACCCGACGCTCACGGCCGCGCAGCACGTACGATGGTGCGGCGGCGCTCTCCGCTTCTAAACCCTCGCAGCTTTCTCCTTGCCCCTCGCTTTCGCAGGCTCTCCCAGCGAAGGCTCCACCGTGGAGCTTGACCGCACCCACCGCCCGGCTTCAGTGCCGCCGCCACCTGCGCGAGCGCGAGTCGCGCCGCCGATTGTGCAATGAGGAGGGCGAGGAGATCGTTAAAGGCGGCGGGAGGAGTTGGGGGCGGGAAAGAGAGGCGTGGGGTGGTGGCGAGGGGCGATGGCGCGGGGGTGGTTGGGCGGGTGGCGGTGATGGGCGTGGTGGCGGTGATGGCGATGGTGGGGAGCGACGAGGGCCTCACGAAGGGCGGTTGGGCGCAGCGCTGCTTCTGGCGCAGCAGCGGCTGCAGCCGTGGCGTCCTCCCCATCATGATGGCGCACGCTGCTCCCCTTGACCCCTCCCAGTGTGAGCGTGCGATTGTGGGAGTCTGCGTGTGTGTGTGCGCGCGTGCGCGCGCGCGTGTGTGTGTGTGCTTGTGCGTGTGCGTGTGCGTGTGCGAGTGGGAGTGGGAGTGGGAGTGCGAGTGCGAGTGCGAGTGCGTGTGTGTGTGTGTGTGTGTGTGTGTGTGTATCTGTTTGGGCTACAGTGCACCCTCTTTCCCCCCCATGTGCTGGAATCTCACCACAAGCGTCCCTTGTCCCTCACATCTCACTGCCCCTTTGCCGGCCCCATTGCTGCGCCACACAGGGCCAGGGCTGCGAGACATGAAGGCGCAGTGGGGCAGTATAATTCCGAGCATCACCGACACCTGGGTGGAGAACGGTGACTGCAGCAATTACAATAACGTCCATTGCAATGCTGCTGGCTTCGTGACACAACTGTGAGTGCAAAGAATTCTTTACACGAAAGCTCTCGTCATGAGGCGCTATTGGCATGAGGAGTTCGTTCCGGATTGTGTGAACTGGGACGGCGCACAGGCATGAGTATGCATGAATGATGGCTACTCGTTGGTACGCCGGCCCGTTTCAGCCATTCAGCACCTCCTATTCTGCAGCGTCACCCGCGGACCTTCCCCTATTTGTGCCTGCATTGCACTGTGGTGGATGCCCGTTTGATTTGATCAGAGACTTAACTAACAGAAGACTTACAGGCTCTCTCCCTGGCACCATTGGCGTCTTTGTCGATCTTCAATACTTGTACGAACTCCTTAACCCTTTCTTGATGTCCCTCCATCTCACCGCCCCTTTCTTTGACGCGAGACACGAGTTGAGTCGAATGGTTCGAGTGGGTAGGTCTCAAGTGGGCAACCGTGTAGGTGCGAGGCGATATGATTTGAGTCGATGATAATAAATTTTGTGTGTGAATCGGACGTTCGGCACCCGTACTCTAGTCAGAGGTGACTGTAGGCAGGCACCATCTTTTTTTTTGGACTTAATATTCTGTGTCTTTGTTCGTCAGCTAGGGTAAATTAGTGTTACTAATGAAAGGGGTGATATTGCAAGAGGGCCAATGGTATGGAAGAGTCATGCGGCGAGATTTAAGCAAATAGGCGAGGCCAAGGAGGGGAGGGGGGAGAGGGGTGGGTGGAGGAGGGGGAGGGGGGGAAGGATAGTTCGAAGGGGGTTCCTGTTATGAAGCCGTGTTTTCTATGTTATGGCATGGCAGAACAGACAACAAAGGTACACGTAAATCTTGAGCTGTGTTTTTTCTTCTTCCTCGTCTTCCGTCTGACATTTTGAGCTGATGCGATGTGAAAAGAAATGTTGAGTGCGATGCTTTTTCTGACAGATTTCGTTCCTAGACAGTAGGTGGTGAGTGTGATGCTTTTTTTTTGAGAGAGCAGCAAGACAGGCCACCGAGTGACGATCGCTTCCCAGCCTTGAATACGAGGCGCCAAAAACGCAAAGAGGGGTGTTCCGAGAATTGAACTCGGGACCTCTCGCACCCTAAGCGAGAATCATGCCACTAGACCAAACACCCATGTCATTTGCGCATCTATGTTAGATATTTCTAGCAAACTTCAGGTTTTAGATAAACCACGCTCTTTCTGATGCCGTCTGTCTTAAGCCGCCACGCTCACGAGCCAGGCTTCGCGTGCGAGCTTTACATGCTGTCTCAAGCCACGAGCCATGCTGGCTGAACTCTGTGTTACGGCAATGCTCGGGGCAAGCGACCCCGAGTTGAATGCCTGCCGCACCCGTTGAGACGGCTCAACTCAACCTGGTGTGGCCGCAACAGAGACTCAGAGAGTCGAGGCATGTCGCGATCAAGTGCAAGGGATGCGAATGCTGTGAGCGGAGTGGGGAGTTGATAGCGAGAAGGGGGTGATGGTATGCGGACTGTTTATGATACTAACGAACGAATGATATTGGCCGATAAAAAGATAACATGTCAGACAAACATTTAGCATGTTTCAAGTTTCGGTCACACAGGGGTGGGGGGAGGAGTGGTTTGGGGGTAGTATTCGTCGCGTTCGCACATTGCTCATGTATGTTCTGGAATTCAGACCAGAACGTAAAGGAGAATCAGTGAGGCTGGAGAGGCCTGAGTCTTCGTTGCCTTGGTGCAGCTTGAATCGTCATAAATCGCCGCATCACCCACGGTCCCACGTCCCTATCATCCTCCAGTGTTCACTCACACACTCATCCCATCACCCTCCTGTGTCCCTTGGCGCCTCTTCTATTCACCTTTCTCACTCTCTCTCACTCTCTCCCTCGCCACCCGTGCTGTCCGCTCCCTCCCCACGCCCCATCCCTTCCCACTCAGCTATATGGACTCCAACTCTCTATCGGGCTCACTCCCATCCACCTTCTCCAAGCTCATTTCTCTAAAGGAATTGTGAGTTGAGTTGCCCCTTTCATCACGCAACTACCTCTGCCAGTATAGTACAGTCATGTTGCACGCACACACAGCTCCCAGGCTGAGCTGAGACATTGAGTCGACAAGAAGATCCTCTCTGGCTATCGTCGCATGTATGCTTCTGTGCGCCTGTAGGCTCGTGGCGGGTCACATCATCATCACCATCACCATCATCACCATCATCACCAGCTCGGGCCACGATGTGAATCAAGATTCAGGAAGCTCTTCTTACCTTGTGATGAGCCAGCGGGGCCATGCCATGTGTCAGTCAGCAACAGCAAGCACCATTGAATTGAAGGGCCACTCCCAGCTCCAGCCGGCCTTGCCTTTGGGGAATTGTCTTTGGCTTGTGACAAGCCGGCCGAGCCATGTGTTGGCAATCCCCGTTCATCCCGTTGCATGCCTTTGCATCCCCTTGCACGTCTTGCTTGCCTTGCCCCACCCACCACGCAGCAACGCCAATCACAATGAGCTCAGTGGGCCGCTGCCTGAGCACATCGGTGCCCTCACTGCCCTGCAACAACTGTAACTCCCTCCTCTCCTCACTCCCCTTCCCCGACTGCCTCCCTTTCCTCTCCCCCTTACGATATCCTCTCCCCTTCAACTCGCTCTATCATTTCATTTCCTCTGGAGAACTCTTCTCTTCAACGCGTCTAAGTGATGATTTTCTTCTCTTCTCTTCTCTTCTCTTCTCTTCTCGTCTCTTCTCTTCTCTTCTCTTCTCTTCTCTTCTCTTCTCTTCTCTTCTCTTCTCTTCTCTTCTCTGATTACAACATGCTAACACACGCCAGAGGAGAGGAGAATCCGCCATGCATTCAATACACTATGCTAGCACGTGCCTCCCCTTCCCCCCCACACTTCTACCAACACTACTTGTAACGGCTCCCCCTCATCCTGATGATACATCTGCTTTCCATTCCACCTTGCTTCTTTGAACCAGGCGACTGCAGGAAAACCAACTGGAAGGGCCCTTCCCATCATCCTTCACCCAACTGACTGCGCTAACCTCATGGTATGCCAGCCCGGCTCCAGCTAACAGCGCCGCCATCTCCTGCTTGCTTGCGCCAGCCAATTGCACACACACACACACACACACACACACACACACACACAAACACAGACACACACCATGGATGCGTGCCGTTGTTTGGTTGGCACACAGCCAAGGGCACGTCTGACTGACTGTGTAGCCTGTAAGCAGTTGGCCTGGCTATGGCATGAATTAGCAATACTGTAAATACTGTGGGAGCGGCACAACAACAACTGACGAGTGAGACGACGTGATTGCACGGCTCGTACACACGCATGGTCAACCCTGGCGCTGCGTGCTGTGCTGCTGACGTCTTGCCCTCCCTCCCCCCTCCGGGGTCAGCCCCTGAAGGGCTGCTTGCGCAGCGCACCAACCCGACCCTTGACCCATCTCCCTTGTGGTATTCCGTTCCGAACCAGGCTTGCTTCGGTTTGTGATTTGGTTCGGCCCGTGACGAACTGGTGTGTTTGTCACAACACGCACCGGGCTCTTTCTAGATTTGGTCTGTCTGTCTGTCTGTCCGGGACGATCTGCTCGCCGCGTGCCAAACAAAGCAACGCTCAACGCAGGCTCGTTGCTCATTTCTGTCAATATGTTGCTCCCATGGCCTTCATTTCCACCACGACACTCATGCAATGCTGGTCTCGTCTGAACCAACCTGCTTCCTTCCTGAATTTCCTTCACCCCCCCCATCAGCGAGATTTACAACAACCAGATTACGGGTCCTCTACCAGACGCACTTGGGAGTGTCTCCAAACTATTAGCCTTGTCAGTTCTTGTTCTCATTGCCTCACTCTGTGCCTCCTTCCTCCTCCTCTCTAGTTTGCCCGCCCTCCTCCACACATGAGTCATGACCCTCTTTATGGCCGTGCTTGTCGTGATCGCTTGCTTGCTGCCTTCAAACAGGAGCTCGTAGAAGCGAGCGCGTCCTGCTTTTTCAACTTCCAAGTCTGCCCGTCCTGTCTTTTGAGGCGCCTCAAAAGACTTCCCAGTCTGCCCGTCTTCTAGTCCTCTCCAGTCCAGGGAGACCCGTGGCTGTCGTCACCCCTTTTGCTCCTTCTGCACGCACCACCCCATGCACATCCAGCCAGCTGCGCATCAAAACTATACGAAACGCACCACCATTCTCCTCTCACCCTGTGTTCTTTCTTTCAACCCCAGCTGTGCTCCCTGCCGTGTTGCTGCCATTACATCACATCACATCACATCGCATCGCATCACCCCAGCCGTGCCAACAACAACCTCATATCGGGCCCCCTGCCTTCCACTTTAACAACCATGACCACCCTCTCTTACTTGTGAGCCTCTGCATGCTCTTGCATGCCCCCATCCCATGTCACTCATCGCCTTGGGAAGCCCGGGCCGTGAACATGAGCATAGGGCTGGGTTAGGGGTTGGCCAAGACCAGGACCAGGACCAGGGCCGGGCCGGGCTGGGCCGGGCCGGGCTGGGCTGGGCTGGGCTGTGCTGGGTTTGGCTGGGAGGTCTCGTGGTACAGACGGGCGGTGCAAGCGACCATCTCCCGCCTGCCATTCCTTCTCAATCGACCCTCTTCGTCCTCCCCGTTTGACCCTTCCATCCCCCCATCTCCCTCTCCCGCCCTTCCCTTCTCCTCCCAACCTCGTCTTCTGCACCTGTCCTCTCCCTCTGCCCATGCTGCACTTGCCCGTGCCTGGCACGGCAGGGAGCTGCAGAACAACAACCTGAGCGGACCCCTCCCTTCCAACCTGGGCACCATTACCACACTTAAAACGCTGTGAGGCATGGGGCGGATGGATGAAGCATGGGAGTGGACGCATGGCATGCACTGTGCCCAGAACGCATGTGCATGGGGTATGGGGTTTGGGTCGTGGGCTACGGGGATGGGTGTGGCATGTTGCATGGGATGGGATGGGATGTGGTGCATGGGATGTGGTGCATGGGATGTGGTGCATGGGATGAATGGGATAGGACATGGGGCATGGGCATCAGTGCATAACAAGCCCGCTCATTCAAAACCGCCTGTTGAAGCCCGAGTCGGAAACTGTTTGCATGGGTGGTAGAGGGAATACTGCATTCTGTGCTTACGTGATTGACTCCACCCATGTGTTGCCCAAATCGGCATGCTCAAAGGGGAAGCCTCAGTTGCTTGCCACATGCTTGGTGTGTCCATGCCTCGCCTTGTTGACCAATCTGTTTGACTAATACGGTGCTCGTCCTTTAAGCCCGTGCAGTGCTGCTCGCAGCTTGCTGTGTGTTAAAACCCATCCATCCCTACCCTAGGTTCACATCTTCTCTGATATTTTGAGACATTGCAAAAACACTTTTCTTTCACGTGGCTCGCTGTGTGTTGAGTTGAAACACATCCATCCCTAGGTTCACTTCTTCTCTGATATGTTTGCCTCTATGTTTTGTTCTCGCTTCCCACGCCCTGCCATAGCTGCATCGAGATGCACATTGCTTACTCACGTCTCTTCCTTACTCTCGTCTCTTGCTTCCTCACAATTGCTTCGTTTCTGATATATTTGCCCCTACGTTCTCACTTCCCTCTTCCCTTCTCTCGCCACACGCTCTCTTCCAGAAATTTGGCGCACAACGCATTCAGTGGATCTCTTCCAAAGCAGTGGACGACACCTGACATTTATATGATGTCCGCCTTCTGTCTTTTTACCTTTCTTTCGTTTATGGTTACGCGTGTGTGCTGTCATATGAAACTCTACTGGGGCCATGCCATGCACACAACATATACCATGCACATCACATGTCTGGGCGTGCCGCACCACATGAGCCAGCAGCTCAGTTCGTCTGGTGGAAATCAGCTCATGCTCTCATTATCAGTCGAGCCCAGTCATCTCCACAACCACCAGCCTGACTCAGAATTGCGCTGGCCTTTTTTTTTGGTCTTCAGGTCTGCCCTTGCGAAAGCATCAAATGTAGCCTTGTTCTACAGACCAAGTATTGGGCATGGGTTTTAGCACGATTAAGAATTATTTAGAACTATTTTGGTTCACTTGCCAAGTCGAACCAGAGTTGGCGAACCGAACCAGATCCGGTTTGGGTCGAACCGGTCGGTGACCCTGCTGTTACGCCCAGTATTGGCCAGTCCAACCAGTACAGGCAGAAAGAATCCCGCTCGGTACTATGGTCATGCATGCCTACATACATGGGTTTATGGGCTTATGGTCTATGTGAACAATTCTCATTTCCCAAGCCCTATACGATTGGATAAGCCAGCTCGGCCTGTCACGAGCCAGGCAGAGCTGGGCAGCAGAGCTTGTCTTGGCTCGGCTTGGTGGCTCGTAAGCCACGCCACACGCTACACGTCTGTCTGCACAGCCAGCCTCCGGCCTTATAATGCCTCACCGGATTGCCATACCATGTCTATATGAAACGGCGTTTGGGATGCTGTGGCTCCCTGCTCCTGCCCGTGCCTCTGCACCATTCCATGCACAACAATGCATCCCATCTGCATCCCTCTCTGAATCTCATCGTTTCCCCTCCCCCCCCTTCCCTCCCTCCCTCCCTCACCCCCACCTCCCTTCCAACTGCCCCTTCACTTCCATCTCACCTCCCTCCGCTGCCCCCTTGCCTGCATTCCATTTCGGTTGATAAGCTGTTCAAGTATCTCTGTCTCCCTGTGTCCTTTCTCTCTTCCCTTCCCCCAGTGACATCAGTGACAACCACCTGTCTGGCACGATACCAGACGATATGACAGGCTTGGTCTACCTCATACTCCTGTGAGTGAGGCTCACACTGCTGTCAGGCTGTGTTTCGTTGTCCCTACTCAACCCCCCCCCACACTCTCCCACACCCCGCTCTTTCCTCCCTTCCTCTCCTAAGGCTGAGCCAAGACACAGCTGGGCCATTAGCTCAGGGCCCATCACGTCCCGACATCTCCCTCATTCCTTTTTTGAGTTGCTCATTCTCAAAATCGGTCGCTCCCATCGGTCTCATTCCTTCATAAACCCACCACGCTTGCTGTCCTCCTTTCGGTTCAGCAGTCTTCACCTCCATTCCTTGTTACATCCAGGGACCTGAGCTCCAACCGCCTCACTGGCACCATACCGCAAGACTTTTCTAGTCATACCAATATAGAAGTGCTGTAAGTCCCTCATGCGCCTCCAGCTCAGTTATTCTGTCACGCTTCCAACAGTATGATTGCTTTCTTGTTTCCGTTGTGCCCCAGGCTCCAGCCATGCGGATAAGAGTGCTCGCTCCTTTCTCATTCGCTCTTCCCCGTTGGGCTGCACTCCCCATCCTTCCAAGCCCCATCCTTCCAAGCCCCATCCTTCCAAGCCCCATCCTTCCAAGCCCCATCCTTCCAAGCCCCATCCTTCCACTCCCCATACTTCCACTCCCCACCCTTCCACTCCCCATCCTTCCACTCCCCACCCTTCCACTCCCCACCCTTCCACTCCCCACCCTTCCACTCCCCACCCTTCCACTCCCCACCCTTCCACTCCCCGTCCTTCCATTCCCCACCCTTCTACTCCCCACCCTTCCACCCCCCACCCTTCTACTCCCCACCCTTCTACTCCCCACCCTTCCAAACCCCACCCTTCCACCCCCCACCCTTCTACTCCCCACCCTTCTACTTCCCACCCATCCGTCCACCTCCGTCACCAGCAACCTGAGGGACAATCAGCTCATAGGGAAGGTCCTCGAGCCCGTGCCACCTACAGTGTGGATGTACAAGCTGGACAACAACTACTTGAGTGAGGGCTTCTCCTCCCCCCCACCGTGCGGGCAAGGCTACATCACCTACCAGAGCAACTGCGCCGATGATCCAGCTCCCGGCCTTTTCTGTGGTCCGGACGAGAGTCAGAAGGCTGAGCCCGTGTGCGCTGCCTTCTGCGGTGTCTCTTCCACTTCACCCGCCTGCAACGGCCATGGGACGTGCTACTTGGACGGCCCCAACAATGTACCCACATGCCTCTGTGGCGATAACTTCGTGATTGGGGAGTTCCCTGGCAGCTGCGTTGCCGTGGCAGGTGAGCCATTCACAGTCTAAGCATCACGCATGCGTCCGGTCTCATGACATGCCTTGTTTCCACTCCAGATGTACTCCTTCTGCCAAGCATAGATAAGCACACTTTCGAAAAGGTATATCATTCATGAAAGAAGAGGCATACGCAGGGTTCAAAATAGGGTTGGGGGCAAAATGGTGGTTGGGAAGGCCAATCACCATTGGTCCCTGAATGTGGATGGAACGTCTAATTTCAAAAAAGGGATTAAAGTGGTTTTGTTCTCTAATGACCATTGGGCTTACAATTGGGGGCTCCAGCACAAGTGGGTGGATTGGCACCCCGAATGCAAGTGTACACCCTAAGTGTGGTACATGCCCAACTCGATTGTACATCAGACTTAGTGTACAATCACAAAGCCAAGCATGTTAACATTTATGTTCCAACACAACCCCGTAACATAGTAAGGTAAAAAGTAACGCAACCTGGGACGGGCAAGTAGAGAAAGAAGAGCAGCGTGAACGATACAATTTAAAACCATGGTAAAGGATGTAAGCAAGGTTGGTGTCGGCTGCAATCTTGTGGACCGCGAGGTGAACCTGCTGAGCGACTGAAGAAATGAAGAAGCTCGATGTGCTTGGACCGACAGTGGAAGCTGGGGGCTTCGTGAGGTGAATTATGCTGGGATTGTCACACCAAAGGTTGTGGCAATGATGTGGGGTGCGAAGCTCAGCGAAAAGGTGATGCAACCAGCGGGACTCCTGACGGCCATGGTGCCGTCGTGGAGTTCGGTCTCGCTGTACTAAAAATCGATAGCGGGGAATTGCGTGGATCGCCAGCTAACAAGGTCGCTGCCGAGCATGAAACTGTAGCCTCGGGAGGAGCGGCGGTGCGGCTGTGAGTCCGCCTAGGAGGAGTTTTTGAATCCGGAGAGGAGAGGGGGGAGGAATCACCAAGTTAAAGAACATAGTTTGTATTACCTCGTAGGTAACGAAAGACCATCTTGTCAGCAATCCAGTGCTTGATGGTGTGGTAGCGATGGCAACAACACCCGAGCAAGCACACTGATGGAGTAGGCAAGGTCAGGGTGGGTGGACGCACATCGTAACCTACATCAACGTCCCGATGAGTTCGGCGTAGGGGTTGAACGAAGAGGAAGGAGAGGAGGGCAAGGCAAGCTGATGACCGAAAGGGAGGTGGTTGGACACGGGCTTGGCGTGCGCCATCTCGAATTGCTCCAAAAGCTAGTTGAAGGTCACGGTCACGCATGACCATCATGTCCAATTAGTGCTATATGTCGTCGAGGTCCTTGCACTTGAGGCGCTCTTGCAGCGACTGCGTTATTTGTATCATACATGTCGTGTCATTAGCAGGAAGAATCATGTCATTGCGGACAGTCACTCGACAACGGGACTTGGACTACGTGGGAGGCTACGAGGTTGCACGAGTGCTCATTGCGTTTCTTGCGTTCTCTCTACTTGCATGTTCACAGAGCAATTTGACAAGATTTTCGCTATCATAAGTTGAGAACATCAATGACAATGGTAATGGCAACGTGAATATGTCAAGAACCTAGCAACCTAGCAAGCAAGCAAAACAGGTCGACGTCCAGCGTAGCACGAGGACGGCTTGCCAACGCCGCAAGATGGCGGCGTGCCAACGCAGCTGCAAGGCGGCCTGCCAACGCATCAAGTTGGCGGCCTGCCAGCGTCGCACCAGGACGGCTTGCCAACGTTGCAGCCGCATGTGTCCACGCATGCACGTGTGCGCACCTGCCAAGTAGGTGCAGGTCGACGGTTGCACCGTCAGGCACATTGCGCAGGTGCCCAGGTCAACCACGTGTCGACGGTTGCTCCGGATGCTCCACGTCGACCACATGGTGTCGCCACACAGGTCGACGTCGCCAAAACCTCTTGGGCGAAGTTCGTGCACCCCCACAGAAAATTAACGACACTAGTATTCTAGATTTATACGGGCTTAAAGTTCGTTATTATAAGGTAAGACTCACTCACTATCCCATAAAATCACCACTTTTCATAGATTTGTTAGAAGTTTTGAAGGAAGTACACGGGTTTAATTTTAAGGCTTTGCACGAAAATTTAACATTTCCGAAAAAATTCCGAAAAAAAGAAGATTCCAAGAAATCCGAAGATTTGCCGGAGGTTTTGAACAATTGTGAAGAAACTGCTGCAATTAGGAAAAGTATTTACAGCGTTAATCCTCCAAAAGGACTGGAGTATTAAGTCTGTTTTGAAGTGGTCGGTTTTTACTGAAGTTGGCTCCGCCCAGGTCAACCAACCATGCTGACTTGCTCTTCCAAGTCGGTGACGACCACGAAGCCTTGCTGACCACGACCGGCTTCGCCGATGTCGGCCTCGAAGAGGCCCCACTGAAGTCGTCGACCAACTTCGTTGACTTCCTCCTCCAAGTCGACGCTGACCACTAAATCCAGCCGGCCGCACCCCTTGCGCACCGGTCAGCGACGTTGACATCGCCCGATCGAGGGCAAATGCGGCTTTCAGCTGTACCATTATGTTGAGGGGAGTAGGGGAGGGTGTGAGTCTGCTAAATGCCATGAGTGACGGAGTAGGAGTCGAGGGTGTGATTGAGGAACTCCCCACATCGTGAAGGCCGAAGTGATTGTGGGACTACTCATTGTGATTGTGGATAATCACAGCATGCGCCTCGGCCTTCGTGTGAGGGAAGAAAGTCTGAGGAGTATTTACTGTGATCATCGACCATCACGAGCATGTATCGGTGCCCGGGGAAGAGAAGGGAGAGAGGAGAGGGGGGCCCACAGGTCCATGTGGAGGAGGTCAAGTGTCGTAAGAGCGACATAGGGATGGATGTCATGCGGGTTCTGTTTGAGCTGTGAATGCATGGGGGGCATAGAGGAGCCGGGGAGGGGGGGAGAAGAGGAAGAGTAGCGGAAAGGTTATCAAGGAGGTGGGAAGTGACGGCACCGCGAAGGGGAGCAAAGTTGGGATGGCCAGGTTTGTAGTGAAGGAGGGCGGCAGGGTGGGAGAGGCCACGGGAGGAGGGAAAGCCAGGGAGGGAGCAAGGGAGGAGGATTCCTCAGAGGCGAAGAGGGGGAAGGGTGAGTATTAGCGCCAGCACGAGTGGTGACCTGACAAGAAGAAGGACGAGGTGTATGAACAATGTAAAGGTGGGTGCGGGGGCAAAGGGAAATGCGCTGGAGAAGGCTACCAGAAGAAGGGCGCGTAAGAGATTGCAGTGCGTGACACGTGCAGGGTAGGTGGTGATACCAGCACGCTGCAGCTCAAGATGGGAGAGGAGGTTGTTGCGAAGGGTAGGAACCTGGAGACTAGTGATTGAAGTGACTTTTGAGTCGCCTCGACTTTTGAGTCGACTTGACTTTTGAGTCGACTCAAATGTCACCTGATTGCACCAGAGGGAACTTGGAAGAGCTCGTTCTGCCCTCGCCTCTCCAACCGTCTCTATACCCCCCGCCCCATCCTCAGGTGGTACGACGGAGCAGCAGCTGACCCCCACAGGAGCCATGCTCAGAGCCACTGGCGACGCCTTGGTGAATGCAGCCACGCTCACTCTCACGCCCGCCCAGCCGTCCAAGGCTGGCAGTGTGTTCCTGGCAGCGCGCGTGCCGCTCTTCTCCTACCAGCTCATCGGGGACACCTGCGGCCGCCAGCTCGCCTTCTCCTCCTCCTTCTCCTTCACTCTCACCCGCCCTGCTGCCTCCGGCTCCGAAGGCTTTGCCTTTGTGGTGGCCTTTGATGCCACCCCGCCCACAACACCGGTGGCGGGCGGCATGGGGTATGCGGGGATGGGAGCGCGCAGCGTGGCAGTGGAGTTTGACACGTCGATGGATGCGGGCAACAGCGACCCTGACAGCAACCACGTGGGCATCAACACCGGCGGCAATGCCAGGTCGGTGGTCACAGCCAAGCCCAGCACTCCTCTCAATGACGGCACGCCCAAGCACGTGTGGATCGACTACGACCCTTCCTCCACTGGCTCCCTGCGCGTCTTCCTCTCCTCCCAGGCGTCCCCTCGCCCCACCACCCCCCTCCTGTCGGCACGCATCTCCCTGTGTGAGGAGCTCGCCCCCTCCCCATCGGATTACACCTTTGCCATCGGCTTCACTGCTGTCTCCGCCGCCCACCCTCAAAGCCATGTCGTCTCCGCCTGGACCCTCTCCACTTGTGAGTGCTCTGAATCCACTTTGCACCTCTGCATTTTATCTTGTTGTTCACTTGTCCCTTCGGTTGAGAATGAAAGTTGACCAACAACGACTAAGCCCTAACTCACCTCTTTTTTTTTTCTCCGTTTTTTTTTTTTTTTTTTTTTTTTTTTTGGGCAGATTTTCCTATCCAGCCAGCACCAGGTATGACATGAGCCAGCTGCTGTTTGTTCCTATGATGCAAGCAATGGAGTTGCATTGAATACCAGTTTCGGTGCTCTCTGGGTTTCTTCCCTCAGCGATCCTCATCATGCCTACCATGTATCCTTTCTGCATCACAGTTGCAGCGCGGGGCTTTACCTTCAGCGAAGCAGCGCTCTCTCTGTCGGGGATGAACCTTTTCTTTCGTTATGCCAGCTCGGGCAGTGTTGCCCCCGTGGGCGGCAATGACGTGTATGGTGTGCATCCTGCGGCTTCATGGGTCAGTCCAAACTTCACATGGCCTGTCAAGACACAAACCACTTGCGGTGAGTACTCCTGGACTGGACCCCCACCACTGGGCAATAGCCCATACCCATGGGCACGGACCGAACCCGGGCGAGCCCGCCTCGGATCGGACCAAGTTGGTGTGGCCATGGCTTGGCCCTCCTCTTCTCTCCCTTCGCACACCCACAGTCTGCCGCCACCCTCTCACTCACGAAACTCCCCACCCTCACCACTCCGTTCCACCCATCCGTCCACCCCCCACCCATTCACCTCCCCGACGAAAGCCTCTCCCTGTTGTCTTGTGTCGGATGGAGAACAGAAACCCCCTAGCCTGGCAAGTCAAGCTGGTCGGGCCAGCGGGTTTGACCGTTTGCTCATGCACCTAAGCCATGCCATACGGCGTTCACATTCTTTTGGGATGCGGCCTGCCTTATCCGGATTTGCAGTCAGCCGGGCTAGTGCTGGCTTGGCTCAGGTCGTTTTTTTTTGCCTATGCAACCCATGCATTTCCTCTCAGGCGACTGCTGGGCGTACGCAGTGGTGGGCAGCATCGAGGCGGCACTCGGCATTCTCGCCAACACCTCAGCGGCGCCGGTGCTGTCAGTGGAGCAGCTGAAGGCCGCCATGAAGGTTGGCTGCTCTGGCAGCACGCCCTCTCAGGCCTTCCAGCTGCTGCTCAAGCTGGCACGCAAGGGAGGCGGGCTGATAACGGAGAGCCAGTGGGAGGCTGAGAAAGGCAAGAAACATGTAAAGGCAGGCAGCAGCAATCATTTCTGCTCCCCGTTGCTGAAGCCACTGGCCAACGTGTTCGGTGTGTCGTGCAGCAATGGCACGGCCAGTCTACATGTGAGTGAGTGAGCTAGTGGGACTCGGGCTAGGTTACTACGGCACGGATGGTCGGAGACACTTACAGAATATTGCTTCATTGTTCGAGCATTCAATCCTTGTGCTGCTCAAGTTTCTTTCACACTGAGTGCTTGTAAACCTGCATGCGGCTCCAAGCTAGAGCTCCGTGTGCGTTGATCCTCCTCCATACCCCATGGTTCGATCTCATCCACACTCCTTCCTTCCCATCCCCAGCATCTCTCTGGTGGATTCCCCATCAGGGGCTTTGAGTCGACGTCCTTCTGCGGCTGGTTTGGGCTGCTGCTGGCCGTGCAGCGGCAGCCAGTGGTGGTGCACATTGAGGCTTCCGCTGACTCGTTCAAGAGCTACGATGGGGTGAGACGAGGAGAGTGGGGTGTGAATGAATAATTAGGAAGCTGCCGTGAACCCGTAAGGGAGCGTGTGTGATTGCTTGGACTGTGTGAATGGCATTTCATGAGTATGTGAGTGTGTGGCCGTGGTGTGTCCAACCATCCCTTTCCACACCACACACACGACTTACGTCGCAATTTATATCATTACCTTGCCCTACCTTACCCATTCATCTGTTCCCCTAGTTGTCCAAGTACCAGGATCCCGATTGCTTCACGTACAACCTGAACCACGTGGTGCTGCTGGTGGGGTACCGCCTAGTGGGTGAGGATACACGCTTCCCCCACATGGCGCCGCCCTTCTGGATCATCCGCAACTCGTGGGGGGCTGACTGGGGCGATGGGGGCCATATGCGCATGGACATCCAGGGGGGGGATGGTGTGTGCGGCATCAACTCGCTGCCAGGCCTCTACCCCGTGGTCAGAGGTGAGAACAGGGTCAAAGGACAGTACAAGATGAAAGATGAGGGTATGGTCAAGGGTGAGTAAATGCATGTAATAATTCTACACTCCAATTCTACACTCCATTTCATCTCGCACTGCCAATTCAAGACCCATAATGTTGCACATAATCTGTCACTCTGAGAATTTACGAACAAACTGCATTCTTGGTAGGATTGTGCATCGCAGCCATATCCATAGAGTGAAAACGAGTTAGAAGCATCGTAACTGCAGCACTAGAATGGTGCAGGAAGTATTAACATGTGTAAAATAAAAATTTGAATTGGAGCTTTCAAGAAAAACCTTGTGAGAGAAGGGTTCTCGAAGAGCTAGGGAAGGATAGGATGAACGTTTCTATTAGCAACAATATTTTTTTTTTTTCATTATGAGGATTTTGTGGTGTCATTTGTCAAATACAATCTTGTTGGATTTGCCCTGTGTGTTGCAATTTCAGAACAATCGTTAGAAAATGTGTAGCCACCCTAATCCAACGTCAATGGTCCCTTCTTAACCAACCAATCAAAGACTCTTCTATATCATATCAAAGAAGTCATCCAAATTAGACAATAAATAAATAAAAAAGAGATGGATTGTTCAAGTATTGGAAATCTTGTAACTTAAGCGTACTTGGTCGAAAAAATGCGATACCGGAACATACAATACTGCATGTTAAAATATGCAAACGTGGAGAGTGAAAGAAGTCGATTTCAAAAGCCATGTACTATATTATGTGCTCATGCAATGCAAGCAATCATGAATGACGCGAGCACTCGGGATGAATTTAGGAAAACACACTGAGAATGACGTACATTCAACACAGAATACATTCATGCGAATTTCAGACTCCACTTGCCCTGCTTCTCCTTCCCACCCTCTTTCGACATGCAGGCACCTCTGACCCCTGCAGTATAACCGCCCGCAATGAGAGCACTGGTTCCCTCTTCAATCCCTGCGGCAAGTTCAAGTGCATTGTGAAGGGCAAGACAAACGAGTGTGACTGCAACGACCCGCGCTTCATCCAAGCAACCAACGCCGATGGCTCTCGCACATGCGCCTACAGTGAGCCTCTGCTGCCGCTGCCGCTGCCGCTGCCGCTGCTGCCTGATGCTGTTTGATAATCCCTCACAAGCTGAAACCATGTCAGCAAAACAACTGCCTGCCTCCTCACACTGCTATCACAGCCACTTTGTTCCCCCATTGCTCTTTGTTCAGCTCACTTCTCTCCCGTTCCCTCCCCTCCCTTCTCTCCACTGCGCTGCTCACCAGAGGATGCATGCAAGGCAGCCCAGCGCAACCCGTGTGCGGTGGGGCAGTGTGTGAATGACGGGGCGGGGTCGTACTCGTGTGTGTGTCCACCGGGCTTCAGGCAGGGCACCACCGTCGATGGCACCTTCTCCTGTGCTCCAGGTACCTTCTCCCGTGCACGTGGCACCTTCTCTTGTGCTCAGGGCCTGGGGTTACAAATACGTTATGTGCATGACTGACTAGTAAGCATTAGGACCCAGCTCAAGTCTCAGCAACTATGCATGTGCACATGTTCTGCACTGTACCTCCCACTTACTCTCTTCTGTAGATGCTCTTGTTATTGCATGTTGCATGCTGTGTTGCAACTCTTGTTATTCTATTTTGCATTTACTCACCTTTGTTGATAATTCGGCTCATGTTGCTTGCTGGGCTGCATGCTGTGTGGCATGCTGGGCTGCATGCAGGTGACACCAGCACCACCTACACCGTGCTCTCTCCCAACGTCCGCTGCTCCGATGTCTTCCCGGTCTACGGCCTCACGCTCACCGAATTCCAAACCCAGAACGTGCGTCCCCTGCTCTCTTGAAAAGCCCCAAAGGTTTCACTTACACACCAGAACGTGCATCTCCCGCACCTTTTAGAATTCTCAGGAATGATACAAGCGGATAGGAACAAAACGTGCAACTCCTGCCCCACAACAAACCAGCTGTTGCCTTCCCTGTCTTTTCCCTGCACCTGGCATGCAAGCTCTTGTAGCTCATGCTTGCATGGTGTGTGCCGTGTCTCTCATGCCTCTCCCTCGGTGTGTGCAGCCATCGGTGTCGTGTGCAGCACCCATCCCACCCTCCACCATACTCAAAGTGGCCAGCCCAGCCTCTCTCATCCCCTGCTCCGTCTTCTACACCACTCAGCAGGTCCCCACCTTCGCAACCTTTCTGCCTAAACGCCATCTTCCCCATCTTACTCCATCTGCACCTTTATCCTCCTGTGCCACTCCCTGTCCGTCCTGCCTCCATCTCACTTAAACTGCCACTTCCTGATCTCAAATTGAACATTCCTTATACCTCACTTTCCCTCACACTCTCTCGTTCCTGCTTCCCCTGCCTCCCACCTCCTCCTCCTCCTCCTCTCAGGGCGACACCTGTGTGGACCTAGCAGTGTACTTCAAAGTGTATTGGTCCTGCCCATCTGACACCTGTAACTCAGCCTTCCAGGCGCTCAACCCCAGCTTGGACTGCGATGCCAACGGCGGGTTGCTGCAGCCCGAGCAGGCGGTATGTGTGGAGCGCATAAAGAATAAAGTGGGGCTCATCCCGGTGTGCTCGCAGTACTACCTGGTGCAGAGCGCAGAGACGTGCGAGTCCATCCGCAACGTGCCCTACCCCCCTCTGAGCCCCGTTGACTTCTTCCGACTCAACCCCGGCATCAAGTGCAACCGCCTCATTCCAAACACCGATGTTGGCAGCTTCACTGGCTTTGAGGTGCGTGCGTGGCACCGGCTCTGCTCATGCCTCTCTGCCCATCCTTGCGGAACCTGCCTTCCTCTCTTTCAATTTAGAGACTTGTCTTCTCCCTCACTCTTACTGCCTAGCTGGTTCTCATGACTGCTGTCTCTTGTTATCTTCCCTTTTTCTGCTTCACTCCACCCTTTCCTCCCCTCTTCCCCCCCCCCCAGGCATGCATTGCGAGCTCCACTTCGTTCACTCCAAGCACTTCCTCCCTTGCCTTCCCCCACCCTTCCACCCCCCCCAGGCGTGCATTGCGAGCTCCACTTGTCTTTTCTTCTTCATTTCACCAACCCCAACCACCACCCTCTTCTGCCCCCCCCAGGCATGCATTGCGAGCTCCACGTCGTACACTCAGGGCACGTGCCCGCGTGCGAATGCGTATGTGGTGGGGACAGGCGACAGGTGCACGGCCATTCAGGTGAAGTACTTCCGGGGCATCAAGGGCTGCTACAGGCACATCAACGGATACGACTGCATCGACAAGCTCGTCAAATCAACCCGCGTGTGCCTGCCCGACATCGTCAAGCTTCAGAAAGGAGTCTGCGACAACTGACCTCCTGCATCTGTCTGCGAGTGCGCGTATGCTCCTCGTGGCGTTTTGCTCCACACTCAGTGACTGTAACAGGACGAGACGGCGAGACGTGCCTTGTTCACGTGTTGATGGCTTGGGATCATGGCCTATTTTGTCAGCATAAATTACCCCAGTATTCTGAAGATCAGGGTGGTTTCAAAGGTCGCACTTTTGGCACAGCGTTTTGTATATGTATATACCATCATCGACCGGATATAAGACATATATGTCTTATCTCGTACACTAGAAAAAATGCTTGGGTTATCTTGTATTTGGGGAGGTTTTGAGTGTCTTATTAGTCTTATAAATGGAAACCTTTTAGACTACTTAGAATTTTTTTCACACATCTTGAAAAGAGTTTCTCATAATGAGTATGGATGTACGGCAACCATTGTTCGGGAAGCCACGTCATGGAAAATACTTGCAGAGGCAAATTTGGTAGTACTTAAGTCAGCACGTGGAAGAATTCGCGCATCGCAAGGGTAAAAAAGTACGCGGTATTTCAAGTTTCACTATAATATATTGCAGTTTCGATTATAAGACAGATACCGGTATGTCTTATATCGTACACACAAATAGGTGTCTTATAATGAGGCTAGCCTGTTTATAAGAGACACCCGGATAATAGACAACCCCTGTCTACTATTCACTGTCTACTATCCGGGCGATGACTGTATATGATTTAATAATTTAAGGATTTGTTCTCCCTGATTTGTGAGGGATTTTTTTTTAGAAATACTTTTGCCTCGGTTTGAATATACGGTAAGTGAAGTTTCCCCTGTATAGGATACAAGACATCTTAATCTCCCCCTCGCAGGGGCGCGCTTCCCCCGTTTGATAATATCCTTGTAATGTCAAAACCTCAGTCATTAGACCACTGGGATAAAACGGCTATTCCAAATGCGAGTCTGTGCGCCCAAACCCCCACAGGCTACCGTAACATGCCTGTAAATAGGGCTGACTAAAAAAAAATACCAGTCCGATGTTGGGGGGGGGGGGGGGGGGGGAGGGAAATAGTTGTGAGGCATATTTCCCAGAGAATGGCTACTCTGATTTCTTAGGTTCCGCAAAAACACAAGTCTCGAGTACTCAGACTTCACAGGGCAAATTCAGACTAGAGATTGTCCAATACTTATTGAACATTCCTGTGGGGACACAAGTGTCTCAATCCCCTTTTTCCCGAGTCTCTTCTACAAATTTGCCGAATCTCGCGTCACAAAGAGAAAATGTACCGCGACGTTGGGCGACAGAATGGCACGTACAGTTGGATACTTTTCATTGGCTGCGGTCAAAGTGATTGGGCCTGTGCGTTTTTTCAGCCGGGCAGAGCGCTGAAACATTGTGCATGAAGCGAGACCCACGAAGCGGGTCACAGTAACGGAGCTTGCAAATGATGCGATCCGAGTTTCCATAGACACATCACTCACATGTGCAAAATAGGAGTCCCTGAACTACTACAATACAACAAGCATAAAAAACATCCAGCATTGCTCACAACAGTAGCAACCATGGCAGAGTCGCGTGCTGTGCCTTTCCTCATGCGATTGCTAGTCGCATGGATCACGTTGTACTACTCTATCTTCATAGACGAGGTCGCTAGGGCGGTCGGCGGCATGCTGGAAGCCAATGTCTTCGCCGACGACGAAACGTCTACGACAAGCTCCCTCGGCTCCAACAGTTCGACCCAGCGGAAGAGAAGGGCAAGTCTGCGCTCTCGTCGGTACCAACTGTTGCTAGAGGACCTGCAAGGCGTAGGAGAAGGAGAGTTCAGGGACCTCTTTCGCATAAACCGGTCTATACTCGATTACATCGTCGCAGGCATGGAATACTACATGCAGCCATACGTGGACAGGTACCTCATCACCCACGAGGTGGCCTGCTTGGTGGCGATCAAGTACCTTGCCAGTGGAATGTCGTACGTAGACATGTCCCGCCTATTCGGTTTGTCCAAGACCCTCTGCCATGCGCTTGTTGACGCGTTGTCGGTCTTCAAACAACAGTAGGTCCACTTCCCGACTCGCGAGGATCTCGACGAGATGGCCGAGGAATTCCGCGCCATCAAAGGTGTACCTGCGGTAGTGGGGGCTATAGATGGGACACATATTCACATGAAGGGCATGGAGGGGCATAGACAGGAGTACTACACGCGGAAGTCCTGTTACGCCGTGCAACTGCAGCTGACATGTGATGCGCGCGACATCATATGTGACTACCTGATCGGTTACACAGGGAGTGCACACGATCAAAGAGTGTTCATGAACAACGCGTCACACGAAAGGTTGCACAACGGGGACATAACGCCATATCAAACAGTGGGAGATGCGGCCTACCCACTCAGAGATTTCTTCCTGACCCTACTACATGCAACCTATGAGGGCCTAATGGAAGACTGGGAGCAATGCTTCAACTATTGCCAAAGCGCCACGCGCATGGCAGTTGAGCGCTGCATCGGCGCCTTCAAAGGCAGATGACGTCTGTTTGTGAGCCGCAACGACTGCAAGCTCTGGCGCATGCTTGCAGGGGCATCTTGTTGCGTTATCCTGCACAACATGTGCGAAACAATGGGGGCAGTGAGGGCCGTTAATGCGTCGTGGGCCAACTTGCACGAAACCGCGACCCATGGTGGAAACGTGGAGCTGTAGCGGAGTTCAAGTGGGAGCCGCGTGTCCCGTGCACGCAAACAACTCTGCGGGAAAAGCGCAAGCGGCTGGGCGAGGCACTGGAGGCGTCTTACCTTACTCGGCGTCGCCGCGAACCCACACCTCCTCGTCCGCATCCAGGTTAGCGGCGCCAACACCAGGCTGCACACGACGGAACCATCCGTCGTTGCCGCCTTCGGCGGCGTTCGTGGCGGGCTGGGTGTCTGCCTCCTTGGGGATGTCGTTGCGCGACTGCGGAGTGGGAGCGGGCTGCTGCAGGCGGTCGCGCGCAATACGCGCGTCCTGCTCCATCCAGGCACGGACGTGGCCTTCAAGCCTGGACATCGCATCCGTGTGGCATCCCTTGATGGTCTCGCATACCAGCTCCGCGGCGGCCATAGTGGCCGTCTCTGCAACCCGCGGGCGCTTCGATGTAGTAGTGCTCTGCGGAGGGGGGGCTAGACACGCACACTCGCAAGGCATAACGGAGTGTGTCAGAATCCCAACCACTAGACCATTGGGATAAAAGGGCTTGTTTGTGTAGCGGGTAAGTGCGCCCATAACCCCCCAGGCCAGCGTGCCTGTAACCCTTCCCTAGGATCAATCGGGGATCACCAGTGGACCTCTGACACCCCCCCGCACTGGGATGCCCGAAGTGCACACACCGGGATTCGAACCCGAGACCTTCGCTCTGATACCATGTTAGAATCCCAACCACTAGACCATTGGGATAAAAGGGCTTGTTTGTGTAGCGGGTAAGTGCGCCCATAACCCCCCAGGCCAGCGTGCCTGTAACCCTTCCCTAGGATCAATCGGGGATCACCAGTGGACCTCTGACAGAGTGAGCACCTTGTTGCCGTGTTATCCCACTTTGTATGCCCAATAATCATAAACGAAGGCATAATATCAATAGCATGGCATGACAAATACACACCGTGAACGTTGGCGTAGACGTGCATGCGGAGACGTGCTCGGTGTCAGATTTATATGACATAGCTACTGTAGGCTAGAGTGGGGTAGCACATATGGGGTACAGTTTTCTAGGGTTTGCTTCTTGTACCCAACTTTCACTTAGTCATTCTCATTCCTGTTTTTCTTGATTCACATGGTATAGAGCGGGTTCCTACATGGGACCGTTCCTTCCTAAGGGCCCACCATAAGAATTTTTTTTTTTAGCTGCCCGCGCACATTGCGCCCTGCCCTAAATTTTTTTTTTTTAGCGGCCCCTACGCTGCCTCTACGCGGCCCCTAAGCCGCCTCCCACGCGCCCCCTATGCGGCCCCTGGCGGCGCCCTGACGAGGCCCCTGCCGGCGCCCTATCGCGGCCCCTGACGCGCCCCCTGGTGGCGCCCTGACGCGGCCCCTGGCGGCGCCTGACGCGGCCCTGACGCGGCCTGACGCGGCCCCTGGCGGCGCCCTGACGCAGCCCCTGCCGCGGCCCTGACGCGGCCCTGCCGCGCCCCCTGACGCGGCCCTGACGCGGGCTGCCGCGGCCCCTGCCGCGGCCCTGAAGCGGCCCCTGACGCGGCCCTGACGCGGCCCTGACGCGGCCCTGCCGCGGCCCCTGGCGGCGCCCTGACGCGGCCCCTGACGCGGCGCCCTGACGCGGCCCCTGCCGCGGCCCTGACGCGGCCCTGCCGCGGCCCCTGACGCGGTCCTGACGCGGCCTGCTGCGGCCCCTGCCGCGGCCCTGAAGCGGCCCCTGACGCGGCCCTGAAGCGGCTCTGCCGCGGCCCTGACGCGGCCCTGACGCGGCCCCTGACGCGGCCCCTGCCGCGGCCCCTTACGCGGCCCTGACGCGGTCCTGCCGCGGCCCCTGGCGGCGCCCTGACGCGGCCCCTGACGCGCCGCCCTGACGCGGCCCTGCCGCGGCCCCTGCCGCGGCCCCTGCCGCGGCCCCTGACGCGGCCCCTGACGCGGCCCCTGTCGCGGCCCCTGACGCGGCCCCGCCACCTACCTTTCTGGCCCCGCCGCCTCCTCTCAGCGGCCCCGCCGCCTCCTCTCAGCGGCCCCGCCGCCTCCTCCCAGCGGCCCCGGACGCCGCCCTCTCAGCGGCCCCGCCGAGCCGCCCAGCAAGCCTAGCCGCCCAGCAGCTGAGCCACCGAGCCGCCCAGCAGCCGAGCCGCCGAGCCGCCCAGCAGCCGAGCCGCCCAGCAGCAGAGCCGCCGAGCCGCCCAGCAGCCGAGTCGCTGAGCCGCCCAGCAGCCGAGCCGCCGAGCCGCCCAGCAGCCGAGTCGCCGAGCCGCCCTGCAGCCGAGCCGCCCGAGCCGCCCTGTCCGGTAAGAGCAGCGCCTCTCTCACAGCACTGCCCTCACCCCACTGTTTGCGCTGCTAGTCTACTACTGTCATGGCTACCCCTAGTGTCCTCGCTTTTGACGCTGAGGGTCGGGCCATTGACTTTGACGTCTGGATAGATGACCTGCAGCTTTTCTTACAGTGCGATAGGGCAGACGGCCTCTCCCTCTTTGACCTCACTTCTGGTGCCTCTCCTGCTCCCGCCACTGATGCTGACGCAACTGTTCGCTCCCAGTGGGCCACGCGCGATGCTGCTGCACGTCTTGCTGTGCGTCGCCACCTGCCTACCTCTGAGCGTGCGCACTTTAGCCAGTACAAGAGTGCTCAGACCTTGTACGACGCTGTAGTTGCACGCTACTCCTCCCCTGCCACTGCTGCACTGAGCCGCCTCATGCTACCGTACCTCTTCCCTGACCTTGCTGCCTTTCCCACAGTCGCTGACCTCATCACGCACCTCCGCACTAGTGACACTCGCTACCCGCGCTGCACTTCCTGCTGAGTTCTGCGCCAAGAACCCCCCCCCCATGTACATCACCCTCTACTACATCGTCACCCGTCTCCCTGACTCCCTTCGCGTAGTCAGGGACCACTTCCTCTCGGTTTGTCCCACCACTCTCACCGTTGACCTCCTCGAGAAGGCCCTCCTAGCAGCAGAAAAGAGCATAGTCGCTGTAGGAGCCTCTCGTGGTGACCCTCGCACCCCCATCTTTGAGGGGTGTTCCCCCTCCCCTCTTTTGCCCTCTGTTGCCTCTGCTGCTGCGGCCGACCTCGCTGGTTTGGAGTCGGTTGGGGCAGCGTCTACCCCTAGCGGGAGACGCCGCCCTGGCAGGGGCAAGGGGGGCAGGGGCGCTGGAGGAGCTAGCGGGGGCGGTGGAGGCGGCGGTGGAGGTGGTGGAGGAGGTGGTGGTGGCGGTGGGAGTGGTGGCGGGGGTGGAGGTGTAGGTGGCGGCAGTGGAGGCGCAGGAGGCAGCGGCGGTGGCGGAGGGAGCGGAGGTGGCGGCGGTGGAGGAGGAGGCGGCGGAGGAGGTGGAGCTGGTCGGGGTGGCGCTGCGCAGAGGGTCAGCTCCGGTGGTGGTCAGCGCCAGCAGCAGCAGCAGCAGCAGCGCACTCGTGACGTCCCCTCCCCTCAGCAGCTCCGTGAGTGGTACACTGCACGCCAGAGGGGTGGGGGTGCTGGTCCGTGCACCTACGTCCTGCGCACCGGCGACCGCGCGGGTGAGCAGTGCGGGGGTGCGCACTCCACCCAGCGCTGCTTTGGCCGCCTCACGGATGCTTGGCGTCACCAGTTCCCTGAGGCCACTGAGATCCCCCGCTGGGGTGAGCTGTCTAGGGCGGGTGTAGCTGTCTTTGACCTTGACTTTGATGCTATTCTTGCTGCCGTGTATACTGTGACTATTAGTGATGAGGGTGACTGTTACCGGTGTTTTCCGCCCGACCCGGGCATTGAGACTGCTGCTCTAGGTACTGGTGAGGCTGCTGCTCTAGGTGCTAGCGAGGCTGCTGCTCTAGGTGCGTCTACTCCCTCAGGTGCTGGTGAGTCTGCTCTCTCAGGTTCTGCGTCGGCTTCAGCCTCCCACACCTTCACACTTGACTCGGGGGCTTCTCGCTCCTTCTTTCGAGACCGCACCACACTCACGCCGCTTGGCCGGCCAGTTGCGGTCTCCCTGGCAGACCCCTCTGGGGGTCCTGTCCTTGCTCACTTCTCCACTGTCCTCCCGTGTCCGGCGGCCCCCTCTGGCACCCTGTCTGGTCTCTACCTCCCCTCGTTCTCTACGAACTTGGTGAGTGGTGCTGACCTACAGGATGCGGGGGTTCACCAGTTCACTCCTGCGAGTCAGCGGGTGACCCACTGCACGGACGCTCGGACAGGCCGCCACCTGGCCACGTTTACACGTCGGCCAGGGTCGAGCCTGTACACACTGACCACTGCGTCTCCTCCAGTCCCTGCGTCTGGTCAGGTAGCTGCGTCGGGTCAGGTGTTTGCTGCAGCGTCCAGGTCTGGTCCTGAGTCTGCCCCCTGCTCGTGTCGCCTCCTGTCTCACGAGACTCTCCTCTGGCACCACCGCCTTTGCCACCCCTCCCTGCTTCGTCTCCGGAGCATGGCCTCCCGTGTCCTTGTCTCTGGTCTTCCCCGGTCCCTCCCTCCCCTTCCTCCGGGGCCAGGCCCTACCTGCGTCCCCTGTGTCAAGGGACGGCAGCGGGCTACCCCTCACTCCTCCCAGTTTCCTCCGACAGAGGCCCCGCTGCAGACGCTTCACATGGACGTGTGGGGCCCGGCCCGCGTCCGTGGACAGGGTCACGAGCGCTACTTCCTGCTGGTGGTTGACGACTACTCGCGTTACACCACAGTCTTCCCCTTGCGCAGCAAGGGTGATGTCACTGAGGTGTTGATCGACTGGATCCGCGCAGCTCGTCTCCAGCTCAGGCGGAGCTTTGGCTCGGACTTTCCTGTTCTGCGTCTGCACTCTGACAGAGGCGGAGAGTTCTCCTCTGGCCTTCTGCGAGCCTACTGTCGTGCACGAGGCATCCGCCAGACCTTCACGCTTCCGGACTCTCCACAGCAAAATGGGATTGCTGAGCGCCGCATTGGCATGGTCATGGACGTCGCCCGTACGTCCATGATGCATGCGGCTGCCCCCCATTTTCTGTGGCCGTTTGCGGTTCGGTACGCGGCGCATCAGATCAACCTTCAGCCCAGGGTCTCCATGCCGGAGACCTCCCCAGCTTTGCTGTGGACGGGGAAGGTTGGCGATGCGTCTGCGTTCCGTGTCTGGGGATCTCGGGCGTTTGTCCGCGACTTGTCTGCGGACAAGCTGTCCCCTCGTGCTGCTCCTTGCGTCTTCCTAGGTTTCCCCCCTGACGCCCCAGGGTGGCAGTTCTACCACCCCACCTCTCGCCGTGTTCTGTCCTCCCAAGACGTCACGTTCGACGAGTCGGTCCCCTACTACCGCCTCTTCCCCTACCGCACTCCGTCCCTCCCCCCGCCACCGCTCTTCCTTGTACCAGGTCCCCCCCCGGTAGACCCCCTCCCCCCTCAGGGTCCTGCCCCTTCAGGTGTGTCCCAGGTAGACGCTGTTGAGCCTGTCGAGGTCGCTGGTGACTCT